TTGGATATAGTTTATAAAACAATCTACAAAATTCTTAGTAAGAAAAAAAAAAAAAAAAAAAAAGATGCCTCTGGTTATATGTGCTGCTGTTGGTATCACAGGAGGCTACATGCTCATATTTCTCTTTTATCAGCAAAATATGAGGAATTCGTGCCAACATTGCTTGAGAAGTTAAAAGAGCTGTGCAACAATTTCAGTGCTTCGCTTAAATAATTTGGGAGTTGGTGTCTCGACCTTTCTTAAGTAATGAACAAAAAACCACTCTTGTCTGCATGTCCTAGTTTTTATTTTAAATATTGACAAAGATTGAGGTTTTCGGCACCTCTCAACTCCTTCACCATCTTTCGAGTCACGTGCACTGTGACGTGAAGGGAGGACATGCGGGGTTCCGGTGAAGCTCTCTAGAGCCATCAGTGAGCAGCGAGAACTCACCCGCTCGCGACCACGTGACCACGTGCTTGCGCAGTGCGATGAACATGGCGAAAGGAGGAAAGTGCCAACGTGTTCGTCTGGCTCTGCCCATGTCCCCCTCCGGTTCTGCCCCCGTCCCCCTCCGCGTTCTGGCGGCTGTTCGTGGTAGCAGATGGAGCTGACGGTTTTGTGGACCTCGGATATATGACGCCACTAAAACTCCGTACAATAAAAGTTTTGTCGATGATACCAGGTTTTTGACGCATTTATATTCATGTTGGAACGACAATATTTATAGAAAATTACCTGTTATCGAGCAGGTATTTGCACAACTTGCTATCTTTTTACTAGTTCCCCTTTGACGTCATGCAGCGCGGTTCTCATGGCTGCCGCTTGCAGCTGCGGGTCGGGAAATATTGTAATTTTTGCCTCGCGATTACCTGGCGGAATTACTACATTTCGAAGGAAGGAGATGTGGGTTCTGTCCTTTGTGACAAGATAAATAATGTCAAAAGTAGAAGATGCGAATGCTTTCAACGTTAAAATCGTTTCACAGCTCCTTCCTTGCGCCTGGGGAAAACATTTTTTTTTATTTATGATAACTGAATGATTTCTTTTGCAGTTTATTGTGCTTGATCTCTCTTTTATAAATTTAGTGTCAGTTTTGATATAGCGTGTTCTTTTTTATGTTCTGAATGCTATGCACATGCAGAAAAAAACCATGTTCTTGTGCACATGTGGGGCATGGCAACACACTTAAAAGAGCCTAGTAAAATAAACTAATTTGTTTCTTTTAAACCACTGAGTGCAATAAACAGCAAAAATATTTTGTACGAGAGATATTTTATTTTAGAATAATTAAAAATCACAAAAACATCATTTTCAAAGGGCTAACAAAAGTCTTAAATTTTTCATAAATATAAAAAAATATACATTTTAACCAAACTTTAATAGTTGCATTCTATAAATATTCTAAAGCGTATGTATGTCAAATTTGATTGTGATTGGAAAATATTAAGAACGAAAATTCTTGAACTGAAGCTGTGAAGATGCCCCAAAATTACATGAAGAGATAAGCACATTCAAATGTTTCCATAGACGTGTAGTGACACCCTTTTGCGGAGGGAAAAATAATTTCTTGTGTATACTTTTTCGTGAGGAATTAAGCTACAGAAGACTGCGATGGAAAGGAGACGGCTGGGCCTACTTGTCAACGTAAATGTGATGGCGGGTGGCGCCACAATTTGAAGAACTGTGCACGCAGAAGTGGCTGAAATTTATGCCGTTCTAGGTTGCTGGGAGTTCTTCAAACGAGTGTTTCACTAATTTCGCAATGATAACCAGTCATTATTTTTATACGTAAAATATAAAGGTTCAAGGATAATAAAACATCATAAAACCCAAAATCACAATTTTGAAAAATATTGCCCTTCCCCGACCTGCATCTCCCCTTAATTTTGCTTTCTCATTACTTGCACTGCTAATAGCTTGAGCCCCGCCATACTGCCAAATCCTTACGGTAGTCTTGTGCACATTTTGAAACTTTTGATTATTGCTGACAATAACACAATATTCTATTTTATTTTCATATTGAATACTGAGAGTACTTGGAAATTCTACCATACTTCTCATTTCGTGGTCTGTTCAGACGGGGGTTAGTTAGCCTCATTGAGTGCGCTTTTCACCGCGTACAAGTGCGCTGTGGAGAAGTGACAGCCTAGGTATTGCACTTTTCCACAGCTCCCTTCGCTGTGGCGCAGCTGTGTGCGAAGGGGAAGCACACTCTTCGAGAGCGGATGGTGATATGTACTCGATGGGTACTTAAAAAAAAAAAAAAATTCATTTGGGAATACTGATGTGACAACTTGCTTTGCAGGTAAATTGTCAAAATAAAACCCTGACCAGTCTATATTGACTGTGATCAGGGATAGGCAGTATTTCAAATACAAGTATTTGAAATATGTATTTCAAATACTTTGTGTATTTTGCATTTGTATTTAATTACAAATTGGGTAATGTATTTGATGTGTGTATTTAAATAATAAAACGGGGGTATTTCAAATACAATTGTAATTAAATACAATTTTGAGGGCGAAAATACATCTTGTTTTTATGCCTGTGGTTGTAAGATAGTCTCCATCCTTTATTCGGCCATGGGGCATTTTTCTTTTTCTCCTCCGGCTTTATTTTAAAGCCACTGTCCAGAGCAGGAAGAAAACTATGTTCTGCACTGAATGCAGTGTCTCTCAATCAAGCACAAGCTTTTAACGATTTTGTGATTACGGTGCTAGTCCAGGGCAAGAATAGTGACGAAATCGACGTTCACAGGCAGACTGGCTAAATAAGTGCCTGTGACAACTTGTGATGCTTTCCAGCCTGATTTCCATCCATATTTTTTCCTGGAACATTCTAAATGTGCGGGTCGTCCAGATTTTCGTAACTGGTGCGGGTTGCAACAATAAAAATTTCTCTAGCTAGTGCTGCGCGTCTTGGTCGTCTCAGTTTTTTATTGGTGTATACCAAAATGTAATCGACAAAAAAAGCTGCTTGAAGCTCTGCATTTTTTTTACCTATTACGTCCAAGCTGATTACACTTTTTATGATTATATTTCTCTTGCGTTACTAGAGCCTCGCACACTAACTCTTGTGTGTGCGATTGCAAAATTAAAATGAGATACCCAGAAACCCGTTGCAGGTGCTCTGAAGTCGCTGACGCAAATTTTGAGGAATGTATTTGGAAAAGTATTTGGAGGAGACCAAATACATTTTGTTGTATTTGTATCTTGTACTTAAATGCTTTTTTTAAATGTAGTTAGATTTGTAATTAAATACATTTTTGACAAAGTATTTTGTATTTGTATTTCGATACATATTTGCATGTATTTTGCCCATCCCTGACTGTAATATACTGACGAGTTCCGTGCATCATTGGTCATGACTTTGTTTTTCAAATTCGAGATACAAGAAAGCTTGGTTATAGCAACAGGATTTTAAATAACCCTGCTAAACTGCCACTTTTATTTAGGCCTTCACCGTTTTGAAGTCATAAAATAGTCAATTAAACCTAAAAAATAAATTAGCTTTAGCAGTAGACTTATGGAATGTAGTGAATAATCTTAATGAGTTCAGCTGTATTTTTTTAGTGGTATATTTAGCACCCACTTCGTCATTTTGCATTGTCACAAAATACATGAGAAGTGTCATTGATGTTCATAAAACTAGATAAAAATCTTTCTTGACCAGACTAAAAATCACAGTGTTATTGCAACCTCCAGAGCATGGGCAAAAGGTTACATTTTTTACTTGAACTAATTTATTGTTGCATTATTTGAGTGTAACACAATTTTATTTCTCTTGGATTTTATACATAAACTTACCACTCACAGGTGTTCATGCTCTGTTCTTCAACCATTAGCATCTGTTTCAAAAGCTGCTGCTGCAGTGGAGCTTGTTAAACGAAAAGGATAACCCTCGTCGTAACATTCTTGCTGCCTTGTCTTGTGTTTATACGCACAAGCAATAGCTAGTAGTTTAGTGTTAGGATCAAAGTCTCCTGTGAAATGAATGCTAACCTAACCAGAGAAAGCATTGTATTTTAGCTAGGCAGGCTGCCACGTAAATCTTAACATAATCTTTGCAGTAAAATGAATCAGATAGAAGTATATACTCATGCTCCAAAAGTTATTTGTGCTTCTACAGAATTGACTTTTGGCTGCTCCAGAGGGTGCTACAAAATGTCTCAAGCCAATCACATCACTGTACAAGATAGTAAATAGTGCAGTAAAAAAAAAAAAAAAAATGATTGAGTTAGGTCATCAGAACTTTTGAAGAAAAAAAAAAAAAAGAGGATTACAGAATACATAGTTACATAGATACACTCGCACATGCATTGGCGAATGCCTAAAACATACTAAGTAAAAATCACAAATGACACACCAAAACAACAAACATACATAGTAGTAATGGTGCATTAGCTTAGTAAGCTTTAGCATTGTTCAATTTACTGTGTCTTGACCGAGAAAATGTTTCATGCAACATTCTGGGGAGTGTGCGCAAGATTGGGCCATTTTCGCTGCTGCTACGAACTCGCATTCACTCGAGTAAGCTGTTCATCTACAGTAGGGATGCAGGTGCCACATCAAGGCAAGCTATACTTCGTTTCAGCTTCAGTCCGAGCGCGGCCGATGTTATGAGCCGAAGGGCCAATCAAACAGCCCAAAAAGCGGCGCGTCATGGCGTGCTCTCTGCGCTTGATAGGACTAGCCGGCGGAGGAGCACGCACAGCGAATACCGGCTGGTCCTATCAACTGCAGAAAGCACGCCATGACGTTGTGCCTCTTTCGCTGTTTGATTGGCCCTTCGGCTCATAACATCGGCCGCGCTCGGACCGAAGCTGAAACGAAGTATAACTTCCTGCCGTCTAAACCTGAACCTTCATACATTTTACTTTTATCTTTTGAACATATCATAATGCTTCCTTATGCCAGGTCTCACTCAACATTCCATTTGATTTTGTGACAACACACTGCACTCGTTAAAATTCTGTGGATGTGAGTTACCAACAGTCACAATTCCTATATATCACCCAGGCGCCGATGCATCGCTCTCGTCAATCTGGATTCTCCTGACACCACACTAAAGAGGAGTGTCCGGCAAAGCAAGTTTGAAATCAGCTCTGCAGAGTGGAATCCACATCTGACAGACACATTCCTGTTGGCGGTAAGGATTCATTACGTACAGTGGTAATAGGCCTCTTTTGGGAAGCTGCCTTTGTACACACTTACATTTGGAGGCAGTTTTACTTGCATCCTCTGCAACAAACAGTAAACAGATAGTCAATGCAATAGGGATGTGACAGGGATCTAGTTTTTAGAAGCTTATAGGTATTTGTACACATTGGGGTCATTTGACACTCTGTAGCACTGAGGTGCATGTGAGCATTTTGTAGGCCACAGACGGATGTGTGACTCGTGTAGTTAAACCAGTCTTTACTTTTTCTGTGTGGGTTGCAGTGACTCCAACCAAAATTTTAAAAGAGATATTAGCATTACTTGGCAACTAAACAAGTGTGCATGCAAAACTTTATAAAGGTAGGACTTTGTGAGCCTAGACAACAGCCCTGCAATTTCTCGTACTTCCTATCTGCCAATTGAATATGTGCGAAAGGTGTGCTCCAACAGTAAAGAGATTAAGATGGAGGTAATGAAACCAGGTAATTCTAATAAACATCAACCTTGTGATTTTGCATATTTTGTAGTGTTCTGAGGTGAATTTCCTCCAGCTAAAGCTGCCTGCTTGTTTATGCAGATATAAGATAGAAGTATACCATTAACGCATTCTTTCATTTGTTATCCATGTGTAATGCTAAAGGAAATTGGCTTGTTCATGAGTGGAGCTATGCTAAGTTCAACCATGCCACATTGCAGTGCAACCAAAGTGTTGAACTCCTGACCTGGTGCAATGGTGAACTGCGGTCCAAACACACCACACCAAGAGCACATACGAGGGCAATCAGGCAAGTCTGAATCGGATTTCATGTTTGTCTGATGTCCAGCACATGGTTTCCATTGATTCTGTCTTGTGCCTCATGCTGTTCCATGTGCTGCATGATTGTCAGAATCTCTGGCATTCCTAATCAAGATCAATATTACCCCATTTATATCCTTCTCCTTTCAGTGACATTAACTGGTCGCCTTTCGATGAAAATCTTCTAGCGACATCGTCATTTGACACCTATGTTCATATTTGGGACAGCAGGTAAAGCTTTTTTTTATCTTCTTTGTAAATGTCCTGTTTCTACTAATGCCTTAAACTATTTATTGCCTTTTTGTAATTCAGGTTTTATATTGCACATGGGTAGTTTCTTAACTGTATACTTTTTTATTTTCTTTTCAGGGAACCACGAAAACCATACTTGTCCTTGTCAGCAGTTAGTGAGTAGGGCATCTGTTCAATTTATGGCTTGCAATTCACGTTTTAGGATTAAGTTTCATTCAAAAGAGAGGTGAGCTTGTTGGCAAGATGAACTAATTGTAATGATAAGGGTATAATCATCCTACTCCTGTTTTATTTTTCACATTGTTTCTTACAAAATTTATGACACACTTTCATTGCTTCTAGCTAGGGCTCTGTATTTCTTGGTTGAATTGAGATTCACCCAATATTTTTGCTTGAGACATGTTTTCTAGAAAACTAAGGCTCCACTTGATATTTTTTAGAAAACATGTTTGGGCAAAAATTTGTGGAACTGAGAAATGACTACCTCTCCACACCCTTCTTCTTTTTACTGTAAAACCCCGAATGAATGTTCATCCATGATGAAGAGCTAAATGAGGGAAAATTTTTGGGTTGGAAATCTTTGGGGATGCGACGACGGCAAAATTTGATAAGAAATGAGCGATAAACATGAGGGCACTCACTACGAACCCACATGACACGGGAACTTATGTCGCAGATCTCAGACACTGTGAATATCGCATTCCACGGTGCAATAAACACTTAGGAACCCTCTCCGTGCGTAACGGGAACTGATCACGGTCATGGCAAACTCGCGTTCTAAGAGGCTTTTTCTTGGAAGCATGCTGGTGCGCTCGGCGGATGCACGCGCCATCTGCATTCTTTTTTCTTCTTTACTATTATTAGCGGTTATCAACTTGCTGTGTGCAGTGGTGAAGAAAAAGGTTGGCAACTGAGGTGACAGTAAGATGGTGCCAGCCGCTGGCACCATGTGAACCAACTGAAGGACACTGTCCGTTGCTAAACTATGTTTATCAACACACTATAGGGAGGGTCTTTCAAAGTTTCTTGCAGTTTTCTAATTTGCTATCCCCTCATTTAAACACAATGGACTAACATATAAAAATAAGAAATCTTGAGAACTCCCTTGGTCGGTTCTTTATTTTTTTAATATTTTTATTGCACTTATGGCTTTGTTGAGAGACTGCGGAAGAATAAGATGCACTTAGTCTCGTACATATGGCAGATTAGAGAGAGAGAGATATCCATCTGGATCTGCCCAGATTGTAAACCCAGCACAATTTTTTTTTATTATTATTTTTTTTTTGCTAGAAAAATAGTTTTATTGGACATCACAATGATTTGAGAGGGTGGGCAATGTTTCTACATTTTTAACTATGTGGATATTTAGTCAAAAAAACTAGTAGTAGATGCGCTCCCTCGGGGGAGGGCTTTCATTCGGGGTTGTATGCTAGCATTTTTTTACATGCCAATACCGCACCCTGTTACAGCTTCGGCCGAGAAATTCAGCCTTAACCAGCTTGGGTGGGAAATACAAATTTTGGTATTGTGTAGTAATTTGCCTTTGCATGCTTCTTTTCGGCTTAATCAAATAATTGGATCCAAAAGAAGCCTACGTACTGAAATTGGCAATGATAATAAAATTGCTTCCCGAATTTCATTGGCAATACTTATACGCGATTTTTACCCCCTAAGTTATGAAAATAAGATCCAAAAGTGAGGGATCATTTTTATATTGTAGGAATTATAGCTGAGGAAGATGCATTGTGTCATTCTTTTTTTATGGTTTTGTTAATAACTTGTGTTTACAGATTCTAACGATATGTCTTGAAGTAAGACTCCCCAGTTAGGAGCAGCTAAATGTTCTTTAAAATTATGTTATCTATAGGATATCAAACTCTGGGGATAATGTGATAGTAATTTGCAATACTCGGGCTTACTGAGTGGGATTTATCTTGTAATTCAATGAGGTTTCTTGCCTTTTAAGCTGGAGCCAGTCAAGTCAAATGGAACAAAATAACCCAGCATGTCCTTGCCACGTCACATGACGGTGATGTCAGGATATGGGACACAAGAGTAAGCCTCCGAATATTTATACCTTGCTTCAAGCATCTTTCTTTCTCAAAGTGAGCTTCTGTTCAGGAGATGACCTGGTGAGGTGCTGTTGCAACCAGTAAAAAGGTTAAAGGTATGGTGAACCGAAATTTAGATTTAAAAAAAAACAATGCTGGAGATGTAGGCGGAACGCTACAATCCGTACAACACTACTAGTAAGGCGATATCTCTAATGGACGGCCGTATTTTTGGAAAAAGAAGTCGAGATTGAAGCAGGCCGACGAGGCGCGTGACGTCAAGATGCCCAGTTTCCTCCTTTCTTCGCTTCGCCCCCTCAAGGCCACGAGGCGGAGAAGACGCGAGGCCGTTCCCTCTCATTCTCGGAAAAATATGACGTCAACATTTCTGCCAAATGCGCCTCTTTTTTTTTAAAATACTGTCATCTGTTCGAGATACCGCTGTATGAGTGATGTTTTGGTGTTTGTAGCATCCCGTTGCATGCTTTTGCCGCGTGTTTTGGGGAATCCAGATTTCGGTTCAGCATCCCTTATTGTGGAAATCATTGCATGGGTCACTATTTTATGTGTGCTCCTAATTTGCAGATGGATCAAACTTTGCTAAGCACCCTCATAATATGAGAAGATAACCCATTAAAACCAGCAGTGACACTGACTTGGGGTATTCTGTTGTTGCAGACTTTAATATACTAAGATTTCAAGAATACAAAGGGCGGGCATATCTTTGAGTGTACAGTAGTCATATTTTACAGTAGGCTATTTTTGCAGCCATGTTGATCAAAGTCAGTGTTTGATATACGTACTGCATCTTTGTGACACCCTTTAATTTAACGTAAGTTTACTCCTAAGTCCTTTCAAACAAGGAGACATTTGGGATATTTTGAGAAGTGGTTTATGGTACTTACCTTAAAGGGACACTGACAGGGTATTTATGCTCGCCGAGGTTTTTAGTTGTACGTGACATATGAGAGCTCAACTACCCAGAACAGAATTTGCGGCTCGAAATTCGGTTTCTTTCCGCCCGAAAACCGCCGATCAAGAACTGGCCGGTTCGAGTCTCGCTCACTCTCTTTTTCGCGGTCACGGGCCGTTTTCTAAGGTATCGATGCGACCACCAAATTTAATCAAAGTCGTGGGTCACTGAAGGCACACACTCAATATTAAAAATAGAAAAAAATATGAAACCCATTTTTTGTGGCTTCTAAAAAGCTGTAAATACGTTGATTGAAAAAAAAAAAGTTCCACAGACAACCGGAAGCATTCTGTGCGTTCGTCGTTTCGCGTATCGTGGGACTCGCGGGGACGGCGATGGCAGCGGACGACGGGCGTGGGACCTCTATTTCAGAACTGTCGTTCGCGGTACCGGCGAATTCTGTCTACCGTTAAAAGTGAAATTTGGGACTGATCAAAAGAATTGGTATTCATCCCGCACGACACGCCCGGCCACCAAGCCGATTTGCACGAAGACGTCGCCGAGCCGTCGCTCCCTTCTCGTGGCTGAAGACATCGCTCGCGCAAACGTCAAGCACGACGTGTCTACTTCGAGTTGAATATGCACGCGTACGATTTCTTTACTAGGTGCGAATGTCCCCAAAGAGTGGTGCTTCCCGACTTCGACCCGGGAGTGCTTTTGCTAGAGAAAAATCGACAGCAAACTTTCCAACACACAGTTTACCGGCTGGATTACTAAGGAAAGAGATCCACCAGAACAGAGATGCCCCAGTAGCTCAGTGGGAAAGTTGTCCGGTTCACACGTGAAGGGATCGGGTTCAATCCCCCATGAAACTTTTTTTTTTTTTCAAACATTTTTTGATGTTTACATATCTTTTTCTTTTTTTACAATCATCACTGAAGAAACAAACAAAAAACTAACAAACAAATGTTGTGGACGATACTTCGCTGAATTAAATGGTATGGGATTTCTGTTTTGACACCTGCGAACTCAATGTAATCACTTTCCACAAAATGCAAAGAGCATATAAATCAGGTAGCGTTCGTTTTTCGAAGTGCCCGTATATGTTCTACAGGAATTGCAGCCAGCCATTGGTCCCGATCCCGTTGATCTTTCGGAAACTCTGTCGCACAATGCCACTTTTTTTCGGATGCAGGAAATGTGAGCCAGCTCTTCACGCAACATCTTGGGTGTATTCTTTTCGGAGCCGATCATGGAAATTCACCGCGGGCACTCACTACTCATCTCCAACTCCTCAATGTACAAAACAACTCATCTTGGAGTACAGAACAACGAGCGGAACAAACATAACTGCAAAAGAATCGCACGGCGGGCAGTTCCCGCACGCCGCATCGCACGCCGCATGTCGTGTCGTCTGCTACGGAGAGGAGAAAAAAAAAAACGCACGGTCGGGTGTAGCCACGTGACTTCCGCCACTTACTCTCTTCTCTCCACTTCTCCGACCTCCGTCGGGTTTCGGTTTCGGTTTCGAGCAGTTGCGTCTTTTGGCTTTATTAAAAAAATACGCTACTCTGTTGCCAAATATTAATTGGGTAGTCCTCCGACACCATAATGAAGCGCCTGGCAAAAAATTAAAAAAAATTTTGGGGGGTGTCAGTGTCCCTTTAAGGATTTTTTTTTATATCTGTATGGCCCCATTCATCACCAAGGACTGCACCATATGACCAGGTATTTCATTCAACTGGAATGGATCTGCTGAGCATCCTAATTCATAGACTTGTCAATGGGATAATTGTTTTTTCCCTTTGAAATAATATTGCACTACATTTGATTTATGTTTCATGATGTGGAGTTTTTTGTTATATACTGGGTGAAACACGCAGCATATAACGAAAAAAATATTTATGAACACTTTCAAAAATCCCTACAATAGATTGGTTGAAAAGAAAAGAAGAAAAAGCTATTTTTGGGAACACATGATTTTCTCATTATTTGCATTTTAGCACCTCCAGCCTTCTGCCTGCTGAAGTAGTGGTAACTTTCGCACCCCTGCACTTCCCACGTGCTTTAAGTCTTCCTAAAGTCGACTGATTTAGGGGTTTTCGATGATGCGCAGCAAGTTCTTAATTACTAGAAACATGTTTCTTTTCACTAATTGACAAGTTAATTATTAAATATTTGGTAATTATTGTTTGGCTAATTGGTTTTTTTTTTTTTTTTTTAATTCCTGACGTCCGCCATGGCTGGCAGTTTGTTCCTGAAAAGTGTTTATTTTTCTCTCGACTACCCTAAGTGTAGGGATTTTTTAAGGTATTCGCAGAAACACCCGGTATATAGGTTGGTGGCGTAGCACTCGAGATTACTTTAAAATCGGTTGGGAAAATCAGCGCCTGCACGTAGCGATCTCAAATTTGTATGAAATGTGTATTTTACCATGTGAAATTTCAAGGCACAGCACCCTTCCTCTGGAAAATTAGACCAGCAAACTTTCCACAGTCAAGAGCAGATGACAACGCTGACGATCGAGTTTGTGAGGATTATGCTTGTGGTGCCATCTCCCGATAGATGCAGCGAGCAGACTATGTCATCTGCTTTTCACTGAGTACATCGTCTGCTAGCTTTGCATGTCGGGGGACGACTGCCACTAGCACTACCCTCACTCACTTGGCTGCAGTGGCATAGCTAGGCTGTCCGGCTCCTGGGGCCCTTATGCCTCTCTTACGTTCCCATCCCCCCCCCTTCACACCCCGACATCAGAACCAGCCAGTAAAGTGCGGGGGGGGGGGGGGGGGGGGGGGGGGGGGGGGCTGGGCTGCTTCCAGAGGTGGCACCCCCCTACATGACTGGGACACCGGGTGCCCAGGGCCCCCCCCCTCCTCCTTTTTGCTACGCCACTGCCGTCTGTGTCGTTGTCTGCCGTCGACCGTGGCAAGTTTTTTGGTCTTGCTTTGTGCGGGAAGCGAGTTATGCCTTGAAATTTTACGAGGTAAATGCACCTCTGAAATACTTTTAATTAAAATTTGAGATCACTATGTGGAGGCACCAATTTTTCCGGCCAATCGTTGAGTGAAGCTGAGTATTTATGCCACCTTATGTAAACTGGGAGTGGGTATAGACCCCTTCTTCAAGGGCGCCGCCATCTTGAATTGTCGTCACTTCCAGTATGGGCTAAAACATTGTTTTGCCATCGCCACGCCAATAGAATGCATTTAGGAGAAAAGCGTAAACGTCACCCATTCTCGTTTTCTCTCCCCCTCTATTTTTTTACTATTTGCAGGTTGAAACGTTTTAATATTTTTTCGTCGCCCATACCGGATATGCCTACTTGGCGGTCGGGGGCGAGAGTAAGCGGAAAAGGTCTATAGTTTTAAGCAAGTACAACCATTAATAATAATTTTACCTTGTTTCTTGTTTTTCTCGTGTCCCTGCTTTGTATTTGCATTTCTTCCTGTGATGGTCTAGCAAGGCTGACGGTATCCAAAATGAATAAATAAATGTTTTTTGTTTTGTTTTTTTTCTCTAGAAAAGTGCAAGTCCAGTACAGTATATTGCTGCCCATTCTTCGAAAATTTATGGCCTAGGTTGGAACCCAGCCAGTGAAAACCAACTAGCAACATCTAGTCAAGATGGAACTGTCAAGGTGACTTACTGTTGCTTCTACAATATATGTCTTACAAATGTGTCAAATGCAGCTCGCTAACTGGTGTATCTGTGTTTTTAATTTCAAATGTTTGGATTCAAGTGCAGTTCACACTCTTGCAACAGAGTAGGACGGAGAGAGACAAGACCTGTTTTTCAGCCTCTTACGACATCTTGGGACCTTCTCCGTAATAGCGCATCCGGTCCTAAGACGTCGCAAGAGGCTTAAAAATCGGTTTTGTTTCTCTCAGTCGTACCCGGTTGCAAGTGTGTGAACGAGCCTTTAGTGTCTACCTATTATATATGTGCCAAAAACAAATTTTAGGCTTCAAAACAAAAAAAAACTCGCTGAAGACACTTAAGACAGCTTATGTGTAGGAATGCAAAAGCATTCCTATATGCAGCGCATTCTTACAAGCAGCGCGCCACGTTCTCCTTTCGCACATGGTGCTCCGGCGGTGACATCACGCTCCCCCACTGCACAGGCATGGCGAACCCCGCCGGCCTCACGATGGCTTCCATGGCAAAACATCTTGCTTTGCTGTGCTTTTCTTTGTGTTTTATTTCTGAGACGTGCTCGCTTTGACCTTGAGCGTCCCGCTGGCTACCGTGACAAAGCACCTGCATGACTGTGCTTTTTCTGTTTTATTTCTGAGGCGCGTGCTTGATGACATAATTCCATGACCATCTTTTGGAGACAACGCCAACGGCTTTTCGCGTATAGGGACAAGTAAGGCTTTCGGCATAAAATGTGCACATAGTCATGACCTAATTTTCCTAGCACTTCCATTCCTCACTCATAACTAAAAATGATTTTGAGCGTGTTTGTTCCCAAACCAAAATTATTTGAGCAAGACATAACAAACTAGCTTATACAGTGCTATCCATTAATAATGATGCCACATATAACGATGCGCAGTCGAATCTCGTTAATTGAAAGTTGAGGGGGACCGAAAATTTGTTTGAATAAAGCAAAGTTTGAATTACCGGGAGTGTTCTCCCATAGAGACGCATAGGAGAGGACCTGCATGTTTGTTTGAATTATCCCAAGTTTGAATTAAGTGAGTGAATTAACGAGATTTGACTGATACTGCTTATAACAATCAGTTTCTAGAGTTTGTGGACACTAGAAATGCTCAGTTTTTAATCCATATACAACAATAATCGGTTATAATGATTGAATGAATGGGTTTTCTCATTATTATTATAAGTGAATTGCACTGTAGTGTTGTGGTGTTGTGATGGAGATCTAAGATTGAGTAAAAGCTAAAAGATAGACTGACTGCAAAGTCTCAGAGGAGATTTCTTTACTGTCTTGCCTGCCTTTTCACTTAAGTGTGTAGCTAGGCTCATGACTGTGTGAATTGTATTTAATTTGGATCATTTGTATATACTACTAATTTGAGTTCATATTCCAGCAAGGTGTATTGGTGCTTTTATTTTATTTTTTAGTTGTTTTTACTAGTATCTCCCAGGACAATAATTATGGGTTTGAAGTGTCTCATGTGCTTACACCTTGTGTTCTTACACTTTTCTGCATATTCTTTCTTGGCCATAGTTCTGGGATGTGACCAACCCTAAGAAAGTTGAATACACACTCCAAGCTGGAGCACCTGTATTTAAAGCACGGTACTTGGTAAGCCAGGCTTTTTCTCACCAGCAGACATTAGAATTATGTGAATGAAATTGATAATCTGAATATTACTTCAAATGCTAGTATGCTGCTGTTGCATCCCAGGCGAAAATCAGTCCACTTCCAGCTGGATTATGGAACTGGAAATGAGGTGGTCCGGCTGGATTCTAGCTGGATTCCAGCTGGGTCCAGTTGGGTCCAGCTGGAATCCAGCTGGACCGCCTCATTCCCAGTTCCATAATCCAGCTGGAAGTGGACTGATTTTCGCCTGGGATGCTATAAGTACTTAGCCTAATGTTGACTGATTTGTTTTTACATTTGGTATCCGTCATGGCCAGTGGATAAAATGATCTGTTAGTTTGTTTTAATTACAAGAAAAATCAGAGGGACTCTACCTGCCTTTGGAAATATTCTTTTAACCCATTGTTGACTTAAGTACACTTTTTTAATGCAAAAAAGAAAGCCAGAGATGCTCAAGGGGCCTGATTGTTTGGTGACTTTGTACCTAGTGCGACATTTGTTGACTTGTATTGTGTTTATGTTTGATATCTTGATCATAAGGTTAATTCATCTTCATATTTAGACTATTTCCTCCTCAAAGGCCACAAAAAGGAAATGAATGTGACTCGTGATGCATTGCATGTGCCTCTTGATTCTGGTGGATGATGATGCCGCATTTCTATAGCCCATGAGCATGAAAGCATGCATGCTCATGTGGCACTACAAAGAATAAGAGGACCCCTGAAGCACAATGAGCACATATCATGTGCCAGAAAATGTCATATCGCATTTCCCGTGATGGGCATGTGTCTTCAGAACACCTCTGGTTGGATATGTTACATTTCGGTGCATTCATAAGACAGATTAAAAATGCCGAAAGGCAAGACGATGTGGTGTAGTGGTTTGCATACCTCACCTGTAATTCAAACACTACGTTTGAATCCCAACACCACCAAATTTTGTCTTTCGGCGCCTTCCTAACGTTTATTTCCATTTGATTGTACGGTTCATTCATCTGCATATTTCTACTACAGTCAAACACCTTTATAACAAACACCTCTACTATAAAAACTCGCATTTACGAAGTAAAATAAAGTCCTGGTCAATCTTCAGTGTGTTTCTCTGACTACTACAATGAATTCCTGTTTAACAAATATTTCTATTTAACGAAGCAATTGTGCGGCCCCACAAAGAAAAAATAACCACTTGTATGAATTTTTTAGGTGAAAAGTACCGTGTTTGCACGATTCTAATGCACCCCCAATTCTAGCGCACAGGCAGATTTAGCTTCCAGATATTCAAAAAGTAAATTGATGCCGATTCTACCGCTCAGGTAAAATAATGAAGATTGAACACATGCCTCACAGAACAGATTTTATGAAACACACGCCAACACAAAAATAAATACCGTGCACTAGTCGTCGTTGTCAGAGTCTGACGATGGTTTTACACTGTCCACAGAGGTAATCCTTGCTCCTGCATTTGTATGAGTGCACGTCCATCGCCTCTTGGAGGGTCATCTTCCAAACAACACTTCTCGAGCTCGTCGGGTCACTGGGATTGCGAGGCCACGCAGTGCTACTTCGTTATCTTTTCCGTCCAGCGTGATGGCCTTTTGTTTAAATAAAACTTCCTAGTGCAATTTCTTTTGTTTTTCAATCCTAAAATGGGGGGGCAGGCATGAGTCCGTAGACGCGAGACAAAGCGCATGATACAGATGCCAAAATGGTGACCGTAAAGAAACGGTCACGATGGCAATGGGGCTGACCACTTTATACTGAGTATTCTGAAGTTTCGGGTTTTGCTTTTGGTTGCATCGGTGCCCAAAGCATATGCGCGTGCATATGCTTTGGGCACCGATTTTTTGGGAAAAAAAATGTGTGTTAGAATCGTGCAAACACGGTAATTGATTTCACAAAAATTTGACGCATGTAGAGAACAGAAACACTGCAGCAGCAGTGGCAGTCCAAACCACCGCCAGACTGCCTTTGCCATGCCATGCGTTCTCTGTTTTGGATCTAAACAACTTGTTAGTTTGCAACCTTGTGTCTAGATGGCGCCACGTGACTATGTTGCTGCGTAGAAAGCCTGTACGTAGAAACATAGTCGCATTGCTCCATCTAGACACAAAGTTGCACACTAACAAGTTCTTTAGACCCAAAACCGAGAACGCGCAATGTGGCAGGGGCAGCGCCATGTGCTGCCTCTGCATGTATTTTGTATGTATGTTTGTGCATTTGAAAGCACCCACGCAAACAAAAGTATATATTTAAAAAAAATTATTTTTATGTGCAGTCGTAACTTTTTTACGCTGTCTTTGCATTTGTTCAACCGGCACATCACTCTTCGTCAGGATCCAAGGTTCCCAATTTTGCTCGATCCGAGTCCTAAATTGTTCTGCCATGGAACGATGATGTGCAGTCGAGGAAACGTGATCTGTGACTCTACTTGTGACACCAAAATCTAAGCGAAGTTAGTAGAACCACACAGAAAAACGCTCCACCCTCTTTGTGCCGGACAGATGTGGAAAAGAGCTCAGTCGGCTCAGTTATGTGCCCCTCCCCATCCTCGCTCCACCGTGCGCTGCCGCTGTCACACCTCTTATTTGCTGAACGTTCGGGGGTCGATGTCGGTGGTTTAGTGATTGTTGCGATCCATATTTTGATAGGCCAGTTAAGTTTGTTGTGTGGAAGTTCGGACAGCAGGAAATTAATCTGCAGCAAGGAGCGCCTGGTGTCTTGACTGTATAGGACAAACTTTGCCGGTGGCGGTAGTGACAGTACGACCGCTAGGCTGATGTCTTTAAATTGTGTCATGCAGTAGTGAGTACACAAACACGTGCCGGTACAATTTTAGCTTAGAAAAAAGAAAAAAAAGAAGTGGTTATCAGGCCCAAGATGCCTGGATTCTGCTGCCCGAGCTTTTTCCCCACGTGCTCTCATCTGTGACATGCTATCAGACTCGGGCACCGTTCCCCCTTTTGTTAAGTCAATTGTCTACGTACAACACCTTGATTCTGATGTCGCTTATGCTATATTTGGCACTATAGTTTTTCCTAAAACACCTTGAATGTCAATCAGGTATGTCAGCATGCGGTAGCACAAATTTGGTTTCGCATGACCAATTTTTCGCACTCGACTACTACAACGAAGTTACCTGTACTACAAAAAATTTTTCCGGACCTGCGGACTTCGTTATAAAAGCGTTTGACTATATTTCTATTCAAATAGTTTTGGGTTAACAAAGTGGTTAGGAAGAAAGTATATTTCTAATGCTGCAGAATTATAAAAGAAAGATGCTAATTTTGCTGAACGAGAAACCCCTTTCATCTGATGCATTTCTAATATATATATATATATATATATATTTTTTAGGGCGTTTTTATGCTTCTTGTTACGTGCAATGCTTTTTGTTAAAAAATGGCTAGGAGATCCCACGTTTAAGAATTTCAAGTTTGCTAAATTTTATAACAATTTTGTGTTGCTCAAAAAGAAAGATGACATAAGCACACTAGCCTTTTTCACTCGAGTTACGCTGCCCAACAGTTTTATGTACAATACTCAAGAATCAAGATCATTGAAGTGGTATTGAAGTATTTTTGTACTACTTGTGTTGTATCAAATGATGTTGGCAGTGATGAAGAATGATCAAAAATTGTAAAATGAGCGTCCTCTAACAGAAGGGAAAGATGTTTCTGAGTATCGTTGGGTGTTGAAGCAGAAAGTTAAAGACTGTGTGTGCAAATATAAGGAGTATTTTGGGGACAACAAAGGTTGGTGTTTGATTTATATAATATGATATATACCAGGGGGTCTCAAATGCTGCCCGCGACTTTCTGGGATATGGCCCACAAGCAAAAAAAAAAATTCGGTTGTGTGTATGTTTATACAGCCTTGAACTTGGTCTGCCTCAACTGGCAATAAATCTCCCAGCTGTAGATGAGCAATTTAGCCAGTGCGGTACAACCGCTAGCCTGGGGTCTTTAACGTGCACCACGCAATAGTGATGCACGACCGCACGCCGGTACGATGCTCATCCAGATCGAAACGGGCAGGGGTGGGGATTGAACTCAGGATTCCTGGGTTCTGCAGCGTGAGCTTTCGCTCCATGTGCTCCGAGCTGGTGTGCGCTAGCCCACGCCCACAAGCATCCTGCGACTGCAAGCCGTGTTCTCATGCCTCAATGCACGACATGCGCCATAACTAATAATTTTATATTGTCAATTCATTTCCGCTCGAAGAGGAGCTCTGCTCTGTTCATGCATTTTGCATTATTCTGTCTTTTTTTTTTTTTTACCAAGTATTACTTAATCTAAATATTTGCTTCTCAGCCCTTTCTCAAGTAAACCAACCGGAATGGCAATGCCACTACTAGGGTATACAAGTGCGAGCTCTTTGCTCAAGGAGGCACCGCAGCTGCATGAACTTTTAGACAGCAGGAGCAATGGCCAAAGTTAAAGCTATGATCCTGGGCTTCTAACTGTCAGGCAATACCTTTAAAATTAAAGTATTTTCTTATAATGCTGCATTAAAAATTGTAAAAAAAAAAAGCAATAACTGCCGCATATAGAGATCTTTTAGAGCACAGCTCTTAGGCGCCCGTTTCCGGGTTGAGCGGCATCGCCGTCGCCATCGGCGTAATCGCGCCTCGCATTATGGGGCGTTTCCCCGCTAAAGTTAGCGGGGAAATTTTCCTGCTAAATTTAGCGGGGAAATTTAGTTGGCAAAAATGTTCCCATTAAATTTACCGGGGAAACTTAACCCGCTAAGTTTAGCGGGCAAAAATGTTCCCACAGGAAAAAATGTTCCCGCTAAATTTAGCAGAGAAATTTTACGCTAAACTTAGCGGGAAAAGTTTTCTGCTAAATTTAGCGGGGAAATTTTTTCACTAAATTTAGCGGGGGAATTTTTCCGCTAACTTTAGCGGGAACTTTTTTCCACTAAATTTAGCGGGAGAACTTCCCGCTCAATTTAGCAGGCAAAAATTTTCCCGCTAAATTCAGTAGATAAATTTACCCACTGTAATTAGGTTGGAAATTTCCCCGCTAAATTTAGCGGGAACATTTTTGGCCACTAAATTTCCCCGCTAAATTTTGCAGGTTAAGTTTCCTTGCTAAATTTAGCGGGGGAAATTTTCTTTAAATTTCCCACTAAATTTAGCAGGCAATTTAGCAAAAATTTCTCGTTAAATGGGAGGGGAGCAAGAGAGGAGGGAAGGGTATGGAGGGGGAGGAGAGGCATATTCTCCCTTCCATACCCTCCCCTCCTCCTCCTCAAGAGCTGCGCTCTAATTCAGCATTAAAGTGAATTGTAAACATCTTTCATTTTTTTTCTATGTCTGTTGATCCAACACCAATGCTGTTTGTTTGTTTATTTTTCTGTCCCAAAATAGCAAAATTTGCCCCCCTTGCCTCCGCTGGCCCTCGTCCTTTCAGGGGTGGGCTATCTGGCTGAGTTTGAGACCCCTGATATATATACTATATAGTGGTTCATGCTTACAGTTTCATTAAAAAGAGCATTCATAAGCTCTTAGCAGAGTAGAATGGGTAGGACTTAAAATCCATCCCCTTTATTCATGGCAGCCTTTTGGAAATGGCTTGGTGACTGTTTTGGTGCCAAGACAGCGGAAAGGTGATAACAACTTGGTCATCTGGAATTGTTTCCACCTGAACGAGCCAGTCCAGGCTTTCCACGGACACTCGGATGCGATACTCGAGTTCGGCTGGAGGAAGCCGCGACTAGGTAAGGGACAGTCTTTGGCCTAGTCCTTTGAAACAAGCAGCCTAATAGGTGATTCACAAAAACGAAATGCAGTTTGTTGCAGTCCCTGGTGGCTCTAAGAATGGCTTAACTTTTGTTTAGTAGTTTAAAATTGGGCAGCTTTTCAGTTACCATCAACAGCTTTCTACAGCATGTCTCAGGTTATTTTAAACACATAAAGTATGTTTCACAGATATGCATCATAATTATAGACTGCATAACTTGGCATGAGTTTTTTCTTGGGTAGTGCATTGGCCAAAGTAAATTTTCATAATTTTTTTTTTCGTTACATGCTTGAATTGAAAGTTTTTTGTCGCATGAATCAGGATTGGTCTCACAAAAACGATAGGGTTGTCAGTGCCACATACAGGTGACACTAGGAATGTGAGGATTTGTTTCCTAAATCAGAGAAAACTACCACAGCCTGTACAAGCATAAATTGACTCATGAGGCCATCCATGGCTAATCTCATGAGGCACACTGTTATACATAAGTCATATTATAAGTCATATTATGAAATGGGACTTACTTGTAAATCATTCAGTATATTAAATATGACAAGGGCACCACCAAAAGTCACCTGTATGAAAAGTGTTCCCTCTCTCCATCGGACACTGATTTATGCGATTACATTGATTGTGCACTGTGCAACACTGTTACGAACGACACTGGCTCATTTTTACATTTTACTTTGAAAGGGTGTTGGCCGATATCAGATTGTACCTCTTAGGCTAGTGCCCCACTTGGGCACTTCATACCACACTAGTAATTTTGATGACAGCCTTTTTGTAATAGAAAAACAGAGGAAAAACCAGCGACTGCTTGTTTATGCTAACAGTGTCACGCTATATACATTGTCCTTAGGAGACGTTGACTTAACTCTGTGGGATAAGAGCTTTCTAAAGCTCAGAGTTTTAATATAGCCAACTGAAAATTTATCTGCGTACTAAAATGTTTGGGAATTTATGATTCAAGAATTGTTGATGATTAATATTGTTGATGTAAGTTCACTGTATAGGTATATCCTCATTGAATGTGAAGATATCCTATTGGTTAGCATCCCTGCTTCACTTCTAAATACAAATTCCTTCTTGTGTGTAAAGTGATGTTATACTACCGTATTTACACGATTGTAAGTCGACCCCCCTTCCCCACATTGCACATCAGCGAAAAAAAAACAAAAAAACTTTAGATGCGCATTTTATTGCGAACACGTAAGAACAGCAAAGTATCTGTTTCGAAAGCGAAGCCTCCAACACGCGATTGATGCCTTCTGGCATGCTTTGGCTGCGCATGCACGCGCGAGGTGCATGAGATGGCCAGGCGTTATCGAAACTAGGAAGTGCACGCTGACATTCTCGTTGCCATTCCCGCCGTTGCTCTTCGTAGGCGCGTTGCTAGACACGTGCGATGCGACCGCCACCCCCGGGAGATTGGAACGAACTAGGCATGCAAGCGCTTGGAACGACGACAAAGAGGGGGCGGTGCGAGTTTTTGTTGACGTACATGAAAAATATGGCTTCCAATCGATTCCAGCATTGTTTTAGAAGCAATACCATATAACGACTAACATCAAATGAAGTTTCTAGTGTGGATGCATCTGGATTGGAACACCGTCCACTCACGCTCACTCACGGGAAGCCCTCTCTGAGAAGTCCCCACTTGTAGCGCCTCCCTACTCTCCATTACACAGGCAGTGTTGGTTCCTGCTTTGACAACCTGAAAAATCCACAGAACTGTAGCCATAGACCGCGCAACGGGACAGCCACCCCGGGAGAGCGGAAGGAAATGGGCACGCAAGCTCTTGGAACGATGACAAAAAGAGGGTGCTGCGATTTCTGTTGACGTACATCAAAAATCCACGGAACCCTAGCCATAAACAGCTTCGCTCTAAAAATCCTTTTATACTTTCTATTTTCCAGATTCTCGAGACTATCAGTTGGTCACATGGTCTAAGGATCAGAGCTTGCACCTGTGGAATGTGGATGTACGGCTCCAAGGGGTAATACTTATTTTGTATTATAACTTCTTTTCAGAGTTAAACTCGGTGGAAAACAATTGGTATGGTAAAAGTACCTCTTCCAAGATAGTTTTGCTATAACTATTTTATTTTTATTTTTTCACAACACTAAATAAAAATTTAAAAAAAAACAAGGGTAAAAAACTTTTTTTTTTCCAAAAAGTCTTGAAACGAGATTGTGAAATAAACACAGTTTTAGTAGGTAAATATATTTTTCTTTATTATCATATACAATTTGTCACATATTTCTGAGTGGTTAAGGGGAGACACTGCCCAGAAAAAAATATTTCTGCAAAAAAAGTTGATTTTGAAAAATGACATATTCACATCCACCAACATCTAGAGAGTATTCCCAAAAAGTTTATTTAATTTTCACTGCGTAGTTAATTTTTTATAAATTATTTTCTGTCCACCAAAGCTATAGAAAAGGTAGGGTTTGGAGCACTTTGAACTCATTTTTCTCCGTTCCACTTTTTGGTATAAATTCCATTTTAGTCAATCTATCGTTTGATAATGGCAAAACAGGGAAAGCTCATTCTTCTCTTTTCCTGACTGAAATTTAATAAGGAGTGCGGCTATGGAACTTTTTTGTCACTTTACAGATGTCTTTTGTAAAAAATGTTGACATTTTGTCGAAGGCACAGAAGACCAAAAAGTTGACCAATTTTGCAGAAGAGAAAATTTATAGAAATAAATTACTTTTCAGAAAAAACGTTCCATAGCCGCACCCTGTAGGCATTTTGGTACATATCTAGCAAATAAAAACCTTGAATATCGCAATAGTTTTCTGGCGATAGATTAACTAAACAATGTAGGCGTGTTGCTGCTAGAAGCTACTTTTATTTCCTTTTCATTTAACCGACAGACTTGAAATTTCGTTACACACCCTCCAGCATGAGCACCAGCCTACCCTGTAAATTTCATTAAGTTTAAGACAAGGGTTCAAAAGTTGACCCCCCTAGGGGGTGTGTCCCCTTAAGAGTTCAGATGTGTTAAAAATGTCCTAAAAAGCTGATATTCACCTTTTATTTTCAAAAACATAATACCATATGAAGGCTTAAAACTTTTTTTTGTTAGTAAGAGAAACAAAGTATATTAAAAAATATATTTTTGTAAAAATGTATTACTGTGTGTTCTAAAATGAATGTAGAATATTGACAATAACAAAATACTCAGTTTAAAAAAAGAAAATTCATGAAGGTGGTTGGTCTAAGGGCATAATTCGCATCATGTTTCTAATTAAAACTGTACCCTTAATGTTGATAATTAAAAATATAATCACTTAAATGCAATTAATTACCCATTACCGTAATATCCCGAGTCATCGCCCATCCCCGAACCATCGCCCACCCCATTTTTTGGGCCAATATCGATTTCCGAAAAAACACCGAGTCATCGCCCACCCCTTCAAATACCCCAGCGCGGACTCTGCGATCCGCGAACACTCATCCTACCCGAATGACGCGGCCGCGGACCTTACAGTTGGAGGACGTCCGTGACAAAGTAAAACGAAGGAGGAAAGACACTTCTTTTTGTTTACGCATTTCCTCCGTGAGCGACCCCAAAGTGGTCGTGTATCCGTGCGAAAAGAAAACGATGGAGATAACAAAATAAGAGTTTGTTAATGTAACCGCGGAGTGTTAGGTCAAAGTCTGTCTCCGCCGAAGTAAGGTCACCGCGAACCCGCTCCCTCTTCCCGCCCGTCGCGACCGCTGTTGTGCAATATTTTAGGCAAAGCCAACGCGTAAATAAAGCTTTGCTGGAACACAGACGTTTGCAGAGCGTCCCAACCGTGCATTGATAGCCCGCCGTGCACGGACGCACGTATGTACGCACCAAACAAGAAAGTTGCGCAAGAGCTTGCAATTGACAAGGCGCCCGACTTGGCCCGACGCCAAAGTATTTGCCAACGCGACCGCCGGCTTTCCCGCTTTCCCAGCATTGCTCTTAGTCGCTTCTTTGGTCCGCTCGCTCGCTCGCTCGCTCGTTGCGCCTGGTCGGTTTTTCTATTTTCTTGTAGACTTTTCTTTCTTTTTTTTTTTTTACTAACTAGGAGAACATAGTGGTGACATTCTTTCACGGAACAAACGTTCGCACTATATGCAGATCGGCGGTGTTTCTAGCGCCTATGCAAACAACGGACTTCGCTATAGTAAAATATTCTTTCGTGAGCATTTTTTTCTATAAAACAATGAAACTAAATCGAGTTTTGAGTTTGATGTATCTCTTGTGCATCAGCGATAGATACGCAGAGAAAAATAGGCGGTTTTTTCCGCTTTTTTTTCAAGTGTTTGTGCTCACCCACCGAGACATGGCCCACCCTACGTTTTTAATGAATTTCAGGCGGTAGGGGGGTGGGCGATGACTCGGGATATTACGGTATACTGAATGCTAATAATTATTTTTTAATGGGCCCTTTGGCGCAGACCGCTACAGTGTCAACCTTTTTTCTGTGCGATGCATAGTTATGCAAAAGCGATTTAGACCTTGTTTCCAAAAACGCGCTGTACATATAATAGTCATAGTGCCAATATTACATTGACATTTGATTAATGCAGTCATCTTTTTCATTTTCCTTCTTGTTTCCTGGTACTGACGAGCAGCAGTGTGGCCAGGAGGTGTCAGAAGAAGACTCGGTGTCCTTGGGCGCCTCCATGCTCGCCGAGGTCCCAAGTACACCTGTGTCCTCGGAGTTGTCAAAGTCATTTGGTCCGCTCCCAGGGGACTCCCCTTTGCCACAGCATCCCCCCTTCGACCTGGAGAGAGAGTTCTCCCTCCTCAACATTAACATTCCAAAAGTCATTGTTCAAGAGGTAAGATACTGCACTGCTCTCTAGAGGGCATTGCAAGATTGGAAAGGACCTCTGCTCCAGTGGCATAGCCAGTAGGGAGGCTATGCCCCCCCCCCCCCCCACACACACACATGCACGCGCATGCACGCGCATGCACGCACTTAGGATTCTGAGCCGAGCATCCCCTCACTTCCAAGCGTCGTGGACTCCGAAGATACTGAGGAGCGTTCACTGAGAGGAGACGACGTTTATACGCAAGAATATTTACATTGTCATCTTTCAGTTTTGGCCTCTGAGAAGAGAAGACTCTCTATGAGTCGCTAATGTAGCCCCCTTGAAGTGGTGAGGAGGTCCCTGTCCAAGGTCCCGCGAGGGGAAAGGGCACTCTCGTCACCACGGAACGTCTCTGCAGTCTTGCCGGACGCAAACCTTCCACGTGGTCACACACCCGGACCAAGCATCCCTCTCGTCCCATTTCCTCGAAGAAAGCGGGAACAAAGCAGCTTTCCGGATCACACACCGAGACCCAAACATCTCCACTTGTGTACATCGTCCGTCAGCACTTGGTCCGAAGGCCGGGCGGCCCGCAAAACAAAACAAAACAAAACCGAAAAAAAAAAAAAAAAAATTCCTAGCTATGCCACTGTTGGTGAAACACTTGTTTGCAACTCAGCACCCCCAATTGAAGTTGTTTTTGGAGTTGCTTTGCTTGTAGGTTTGTTATGCTGCATCTGAGTATGGGACATGGTCATAATTGGATTATTAATGTTATCAATTGCAGTTTTAGACTGGTTATCTCCTTCAATTAATGAGCAGTGGAAAGCTTTTTTTATGTTTACAACACCCATCTTTTTTTTTTTCTCCTGAAGCAGCTTTCAATCTTATTGAACTCGTTTATTTTCAGTAGTTTTGCTTACCTTGTTGTTTTTGTCACAAATGCCATTACCTTAAAGCAGGGCTGGGCAGGACCGCCATACAAATGTATCGCGATAGTATCTTAGAGATACTTTCGAGTGTCTGTATCTCTGTATCAAGATACAATTGAAAAATGTATTTGTATCTCAGTAGTGAAATATATTTACAGTGTATTGCTTGTATCGCAATGCTTTGTCAGACTTACGTATCTCGTTACATTTCTTGTAACGAGATACGTTTGGTGCGAGTTGCTTCGGAATTTATAATTTGAACCTGCCCTATAACATGATTCAACTCAGTCACCAACATAAAAGAAAAACTGTGGTTTAAAGAAGGTTACTTGCAAGAATAACAAAAGCAGCTCTCACAAAGCCGTCCACTCTTTCCAGTTTAGCAGAGAAAACGCTGTAAAGGAGTTGAGTAAAGAAAAAGTATGCTCCTGTTGTCCAATCTCCCCACACTATGGGTGACTCAGAAGCATATACACCTTTCCAAGAAACACTCGACCCCAAGGGCAGCAAACCGTTTTCAAGCCCAGTCACTGGGTTTGAGGCTAGACTGTCACCGGCGTCCCTGCTAACCCTAACCGAGTGGACTGTGATTTCGATAGGCGCAGCCTGCGTAGGCGCAGTTTCAAACACTGTTGGCGGCTAAATTCTCACCTTTTCCCGCTGTATTTTGTGTTTCATGGTGCATGTATTTTCCCAAGGTCATTGAGAAAGCATTGTATCACATTTGAAGAAGAAAAAAAAAAAGCAATAAAAAACCTATAAACTATTTTTGTTGGGTATGCGCGTGACAGAACGAATGCGACTTGAAGGTATAGTTCTAGTTTTTTGTGTTTTCTTTACGATAAGTTTTGACGGCTCCGCGCAATTCGCCGCAGGACAAACGACAAAGTGCTTAGCTGTCAAAAATAAATTGCAACAGAAGAGAGCCGAAAGGCATGCATTTTTCACGCTCACAAATACAGTGTAGACCGCATATAACGTATGTCTCGGGAGTTGCGAAAATCCGCACTATAAGCGGTGCCGCACTATAACCAAAACATAAATTTTTCAGGCCAAAATAGATGCCATGAGACAACTTACCTTTGTAAAAGAATTTATTTTATGTTAGATGAAAAATAAAGCTTAGTTTGAGGAAAGTCTTCATTTCACTAGACTAGTACAGTTCTGTCCGTGGTTCTGTCTCAAGTGTGTCACACATTTTGAAAGAAATGAGCGGCTTTTGCCTGGCGCAGCCTTTTAACGGCGTCGCGGGTTGCGGACGAACGTTGCGAGCGTTCAGGATTGCTAACCCTAATCACTTTTCTCCGGAGATGAAAACGTGTGAAAATTCGCATCCTTCATACGGTACGCGCCAGTAATACCTTGAACTTTAGCACACGCATGAAATGCGCCAAATAAGAAATCCGGGCGATGTTCGAGGACACAAATGCTTAGAAATCACCACTGTAGTTGAAGTAAACAAACACAACGACATGGGCGTTTCTGCCGTCTTGAGAGCGCCGCCACGACATCGCCGCACGAGTAGGTGGATCTTCCCTTCTAGTACGTGCTGGGTTATCATAGCGACACACAACGAAAATTCACAGTCAAGGATAGCGCTTTTACGCAGAACGATGAGATGCACGCCGTCTACGACGACGATCACAACCGACGCACGCGTGCGAACACTTCTCCTCGACCTGCGATTGGTGTGTCGTTGCGGTTGTTTGTTTCTTTGTTTCCAACGCAGCGGAGGGACGCAGGCACGTGAACGACTCGTGCGTGCGTCCCTCCGTCGCTATGGCAACTGAAGCCTCTCTCTTCGCTTCTCCCCGCGTTTTCGAGCAACCTCCTTGCCCCGTGAGTGCAGCTTGTGGCTCGCGCCGTCAGCGCCGTTATCTGGTGTCGCACAGGGAAGCGAGCTCGCTGCTCCGGTCATCGGCGCGGTCGGCGGGCAGTGCCAAAAACCGCACTATAACCGGTATTTCCCTTCGCGCGCCTGCATTTTAAGCGGTATGTAATGACATGGAGTTCTATGGGACGTGAACCGGTGGTTTAAAAAAACCGCGTTATACCCGGTCCTGCACTATAAGCGGTTACGTTGTAAGTGGTCTATACTGTAACGTGTTTACCGATGAACAGGACACGGACATACAATTTAAAAAGTGTTAACATTCAAACAATATGTTGTATGTACCACATGATGCAGCATTATCCGAAAAGAATTTATTTGAGAAAGATCTCAAATAACACAGTCACAGTCGACAACAGTCATATCTTGACGATCGGACAGAATCCAAGATGACTTCGTTTTGGGACACGTTTTGGGGAGAGCTTCCTTTCTTCACAACAGCACCAAGCCTAAGCAACGAACGCGACTGACCCATTTCCCACCCCAACCGGGACAACTATTTTTGGAGATGACTGAGGATTCTACGCGGATTATCTTTGGGAGGGGGGAGAACAATGTTCGCAAAATCGCGTCGGGGGTCGTTCGACGTCCATCACCTCCTTCGTTTCCCATGAATGTCAAGCAGAAAAGCTTGAATGGCAGGCAATTACCAGCCTTATTTCTCACAATGAAAGGTAACACAGAAAGGGTACACAGCACGCATAAAAAAAATTAAGTGGAAACTTTCAAGAAGGGCGAAAAAACGTTGAATACAAAACCGCAAAAACATAGGTAGAGAACCGCTCTGAGCGGGTCTTCACAGTCCAAGAGAGTGGCAAAAAATTTCTAGCTGATAGAGGGCGCGAGAGTCGCACCAGCCGCATCAGCATCAGCAACATGGCAGCGGCCTAGGAGCGCTTTTTGGAAAGGTGCATAAGACGACAATTTGTGATGCACCTTCACGGCAAAACAGGATTAATTTGGGGCAGACGACTCTTGTCAACCATGGTGTGAAGTCTTTACTGTTCTGTAACGATGTGGTTCAACGGAGGTGAGATGTTTTTTGAGCGGTGTTAATGATAAATAAAGAGTTTGAGATAAGGGGTAGTGCATGAAATGGCATGAAAAGAGGAGCACAAGCATAAATTACCATTCGCCTTCGCCACAAACTACTTCCTCACCACGTAGCACCGTTCGGGAACAAATGTATTCCTATAAGTATCTATCTATATTCCGTAATACTTTTTTTGTCGTTTCTGCAGAAGTATCTCAGGGATATCCTGTTGCATAAAAGACAAATGTATCTCAGTATCTGTATTTGGGCTTTAAAACATGTATCTCAGTATTTGTATCCCCAAATACTTATTGTAGTATCTGTGCCCAGCCCTGCCTGAAAGCTACAGAAACAATGATGTAAGAGAGTTTTAAGCCTCTCTTTGCTGTGTTGCGTAGCACAGCTTTTGAAGCATTAATTAGAAAATTTTCAACTAGCCTAAATGGGGAAGAACATTGGGTAAATTGGGTGGAAATGTTTTATCTATGATTCATGACGTTATGCTATAGGCTGTATTCACTGGACAGAATGGTTGAGTTCATTATTCGTAGTGCATGCTAAAAGTTTACTCTCATTGACCGTCTGCCATGAGCAGCGATCTTCGTGGCGTGGCTTGTGGAAGCTCACAATCGGCACGTGCTCAGGTGCAACAGGCTCTACGGCAACCAGTGAATACCACCTATATAGGGGGTGATTCTTGCATTTTCGTGCAAATGGCAAGCTTTTGGTGAAGAATTCCGAAGTACAATTGAGAGAAGGTCTCCAATAGTAGTTAGTCCCACTGATCTCTACTATAGGGGGCTGGATGGCGCTTAGCCGCGCTCCGAGTCGGGTGCGAGTGAAGCCACCGGAAGTTCAATGCTTGACCCTGAAGTCGAGTGTCTGCTGGGTTTTGTAGTGCATTTAGTTAATGTTTTGGTTCACGCTTTCTTGGATTTTTGCATGGGTTTCAATAATTTCTTTTAATATTCAATCTTGAAAATGAGGCATTTGAACGTGGTGCATGTACACTTAACCCTTTAACCGCTCAACCCGAGCTGTACTCGTCATGGAAGGTTGTACCAATATCGCCGATGACGAGTCACACTCGTCAAGCCAAAATGATGGTTTGCTTTCACTGCCAAACACGAGACAGGTTCGTCCATCGGCTTTAATTTCAATTTTCAACACTGGAGGGCAGGAGAGGTTGTGCAAATATAGCGTGTTTTGGCCTTTGGTACGTATCTAGCCTTGCAACAGTGATCAGAGATGGCAGCGCGCTTGAGTGATGCCGGTGACGGCCCTCGGAAACGGGCTCTCTCTTGCGGCAGTTCGAACAGTAGCGACGATGATGACATCAAATTTGTCTCTGAAAGTGAGTCAGACATGACGATGACCTCAGTGACGAATTAGACGACGCGCTGGGTAGTGTTCGAGTGTGGCAATGCGTAAACGCTGAAAACCCGCCAGCCGCGCCTCCGAGGTTTCCTTTTTGTGCAGTGCCTGGGATTCTGCGGCAACCCACTGACGAAAAAGACATTCTCGGCTGGTTCAAGGTTTTTTGTTTTTTTTGATTGGGACTTTCCCAACTTCATTGTGACAGAGACAAATCGCTATGCGGTTCCGCATTTCCCAGCGCGGGGTTCTTGATGGAAACGGTGGACCGCAAAGAGATGATGGCGTTCCTTGCGCTAATAATTCAGCGAGGAATCATTACTTACGGAACTTTGTTAGCGCTACTACGGAGAAACGTCTAGGCACTTGATCTTTTGTTATAGTGCGTATTTTCAAATAAATACTGCGCATTTCAGCATATGCTATTCTCACTCTTACATGCACTGAGGGAAAGCTTCCATATAAATCAACATTTTCTTTTAAAATTTTTCTGTTAATACCTATCAGAAACCAATCAAGTAATGTAATTGCAAAATCAGAACCACATAAGAAAAAATATGCAAATAAAAAAATTTGGGAAAGTTTGTACATTTTTTTTCAAAGATTACTTGGTGGTTAAAGGGTTAATCAACTAGAATCTCGAACTTCTCGCACCTCAAATGGCTTCTAAGAAGACTTCTCGGGCCTGCGTGAGCTGTTATTGTGCAAGAAGCAGGCTCTCTTGGTATAACAAAAGCAACTCAAGCGCCTTGGACACTGTTTGGACCACCGCTCGTTTGAGTGAGGAAGCCTGTCAAGCGCTCACTTCCGGGACAAGATGCTTACTTCTGGTGGCTTCATACCTGTTAGTTCAATGCGCCATCCAGCCCCCTCTAGTGGAGATGAGTGGTTGGTCCTCTTTACGTTCTAAAGCATGTAATTAATTTTTTTTTTTTTTAATATGACTTTATTATCTGTATTTGCTTGTATTTTTTGAAAGAGGTATCTATTTCAAGCACTCTTTGTTTCATAATAAAACGGGATTCCGCACATGCTAACATTGCAACATGCTTTTGTGTACAGCTGGATCCTGGTAAACGAGTCTGCTGTGTCACAGTGACTGTGGGGATGCACATCCTTGGATTGAAGCTCACTTTTCCTCAGCTGTACCCGTACAACGCGAGCCCCACTTTTCAGTTCCTCAAGGGAACAACTGTGGACAGCAATGTCAAAGCTAAACTACTCAGGGTCAGTTTCTTATATCCTGCTTTACAGGCTGCTTTTGTGCACATGCTTGGTTGCTTGTGTGTTAATTTTTCTATCCATAGCTCATATTAAGTAGCAGTGCATAATGGAAAAATTTATTTCACCTGTGTGACGCTTTTTGCATTCAGTTTGCAGTAGCCAGTCTGGCACTCAAAAGATAATTATCTAAATTTTGAGTATAAACAAAAACAAAAATGCAAATATAATTTTTTTTTTTTTTTTTATCAAAGAAAAATGCCAAAATAGAAAACCAAAAATAGCAAGTGAGACAGCCAGGGAGAAGAAAAAACAAACAAAATTGTCCATAAGCTGTAATGCCACGCATAAAAAAAAACTAAAAAAAAAAACTTGTGTAGTATTTACGTTGTAAACACATTTTGATTTTGAAGTGAAACCAAAACTAACTTCCATTTTGAGGCATTGACCTCGAAATAGAAGTTAGTTTCAGCTTTGCAGAATGTAATATCACAACATAAATATTGCACTAACAAGAAAGTTTTTCGGGAAAACTTATTTTGTGACATTTAGGCATTTAAATCCTATCCAGGCATTAAAAATAAAACATATTTGGGAGTTCAGTGTCTTTTTAAAGTGCTCCCACCATACAAGTGCTCGTGATGGAACCTTCTGTGAGAAATTTCAACTTGCACACGAGTTTCATGTACCATTGAACATCATATAAAAAAACAAAGATCTTTTCTTTACTCCAGAGATTCCCTATTTGGAAGTACCTTGTATATAGTTCCTCAACAGATTACAATTCTGCTCCAACTTAGGTCTTGCGAATGACCTCCGAACAACATGTCAAGAGAAACCGCTCCTGCTTAGAGCCCTGCCTTCGACAGTTGGTTGCTACCCTAGAGAGTTGCATTGTAAGTGACTGCAAGGTCTCTTGTGCTTTTCTCCATTGGTCATGAAAGCCCGGTTTCTGGCTTTTGCTGGCCCATAAAACCATACAACTGATTTACATAGGAGTCAGCAGAGGTGGAAGACAATGACAGTGGCTACATTTCTGAGCGCTTGAAGCTGCCCTATGCTGTGTACGGCTCCTTTCAAGATTCCAGTGTGCCATTTCCGAGGACATCTGGAGCACGTTTCTGTGGGGCAGGTGAGGAGCCAGGATGGGGGAGTGGCCTACTTTGGTAGACTTACCTTATATCGTGCCATCATTTCTGCGTGTTTTTTTTAATTGGCACCGACTGATCTATGAAGACATAGCACTAGTAAGATGCTTGTAAAAAGTATTTTCCAAAGTTGCATTATATCTGGATTTAATGAGACCTGAACAACTCGGAATAGCCTGGGATGAGAGAAACACAACAATGTACTATTTTGTATTATATTCAGAGTGAAAGTTGAAGTTGTGTCTGTGTTGTGTTTTTTATAGAAGTAATTGTGCCGATTGGAAAATTCACCCTATTTTTTTTGTCCCGGTTATGCCCTATGTAAATACCGGGGAAGCTCCCTCCCCCACTTTCACTGAAAACTGTGTTAATCTAGACATGGACGCTTGTCCGGTCAAATCGGTAAAAGCCAAGATGGCAGCCAATAAAAAGCTTTGAAGAGGGGGGCACGGAATCGGAGAAAGCACATTTATTTTCGCATGGTACCTCATTCATCGCTGCAGCCGGTCTCGGGGCTATCGCAACGGGGTGAATATTTTCGGCTGATGTTGGCGCTTTGAAGGGGGTGGGTGCTTGACGTATAATTTGCAGAATTCCCTAGTTCGGGGAATGTTAATAGCGGGTGCTTGTACGAAGTGGGCACTTGCACGGTATTTTATGGTAGTTCTGAAGAAAATGGTGTTCAGGTGTTATGTAGTTCATAATTTAGATTTTTTTTGTCTCGGACCGTATGCCTGCAAAACTAATGTCTTACATCCACTGAAACATATCATGCATACTCCAGGTTATTTGTTTTGAGAGGTACAAAGAAGGTGAAAATTACAGCACTAGGGCCATAAGATACTCGAATATAAACAGCTGAAAATCTGCAAAGAGTTGCCCTTGCATCTGTTTCAGTTTATCGTGATCAGCAGTGCACAGTTATGCAAAACGTTAACTGCATCATTCCCGAAATGTTGTGTACTAGTATATTTCTGTTAGTTTTTTCCAATTGTTTGGTTGACAGGCCAGTAGGCATTACAAGTGGTACTCAATGCGCTGTTTACTACCCTCTCTCCTACAGATTTTTTTGAACAAGATAATAATCCTGAAATGAGAGCATGGGTTATTTTTGAACCGAAACTATTAAAAGAAATACTGAACCTACGGGAAAAAAAAATTTTTTTTCCTGCCTGGTTAAGACAGGCGAATCTCAAAGTAAATGTTTATTGAAAAAAATTTTTTTTTGCTTAATGGTTATACCACAATATGAATTTTTCGAATTGCGGGCGAAACTGAAACTGTATCCCTGTGGGATGATGATGGGGTGCAAACACTGTCATCATCATCCCACAAGGGTACAATTTCAGTTTCGCCCGCAATTCGAAAAATTTGTATTGTAGTATAAATATTGGGCAAAAAAGATTTTTCGCCAAACATTTATTTTTCTGCAAGATTCTTTTTCCTAACCCGGTAGGAAAAAGGATCTTTTTTTTTCTTCCTAGGTTCAGTGTTCCCTTAAAGGGAGGACACTACCTGGGAATGTCAACTTTTGAACCGCTCACTCAATCAGTGTGAAATTTGCAGGTGGTGTTTGTTGCCACATAGGAGGGAATGCAATTTCAACCCCGTGAACAAATTTTATGAGGTATTAGTGTGCCCCAGAACAAAGTAAAGCATAGCTTGGAATATAATCTGTTTAATGACTCTATTGTTGAGAAATAGTGTTGATAACCACATATTTTTCTGGTGGAATCCATACTGAAATACCTGTTTCTGTGAAAATAAATGATGCAAAATATAGATTTTTTAACTAAAAACAAATTAAGGAATTTTTTTCCCCCATCGTTTAACAAGTTTCGCAAATTACATTTTTTCATAATAAAAGAACATGAAAATGCAAAATCTAAGTTCATAGTAACCGGCTGCATGAAATTTCGGTATTGGCGAGGAGATAGAACTATAGGCGGCACAGTTTCATTATCATCATCACCACAAACAATCGCTGTGTGGCAAACAACTCTGACGCCAGCACTCGCCTAGCGTACGCCGCATTGTTTCCCTTGCTGCATATTTGTTTGTAGTGAAATGGTGCGACCTTGCTGCATACCGCAGTGCTCGAAGCATACTTTTCAACCGGGTATAGGGAGCGCGGAGGACTGCAGCACGTAACCGACGATGCAGACTCTCTCCGCATTCGGCTCTGGTGCTACTCTGCACTTGATGACATGATCACAGTTGAGCACGTCCTCTCCTTCAACAAGACACCGCTTGCTTTCGCCGATGTTGTCCATGATTGTCGCATGAGACAGGGTAACTGAAAAGTGAAGTGCGTGTTTTGTGAATTATTCAGAAAAACACGGACGCCGCGCCGGCCACGCACGATCTAGCGACGCGCATGCCCCGATATGCGCTTGTTTTGCTTACCAAGAGGACTTCGATGACATGGAACGCAAGAGGGGACTAGATTACTTTTATCTAGATGCGTTTAGGAGAATAGTGTTATGTATCTTTCACGAGCCTTGCGTCCTCGTCCTCCTTGGCATCGAATGTGTTAATGACTGTGATCGGAGGTTTTGTTTACCACACAGCATTCGTTCCCGAGGTGGCTACTAGGGAGCACCACTCCTTATCTCCTCCCCAATATAAGCTGAAAAAATTAAGTCTCTTGATAGTTTCATATAGTTTCATATCATATTTCATTTCAAAGTGGAATGGAGAAAAACGCGTTTGAAGTGCTTGAACCTTTACCTTTTCTTTAGCATCGGTGGACTGAAAATAATTTATAAAGACAATAACTATGCAGTGTTAACAAATGAAACTTTCTGGGAATATTCTCTAAATGTTGGTGGATATATGGCATTTTTCAAAATCAACATTTTTGCACTTTTTTTTTTATAGTGTTCTTTTTTTATTTATTTTGTAGGGCGATATGTGCACAGCACATTTTGTTCTGTATTAGAGCAGCTGCCAATCCTCCACATTACCTGTTCTCTTTGCAGACTATCTGGTGTGCTTCACACGGCCTTCACACTTCCAGAAAATGAATGCTCCAACCGAAGTGACCCCTCGTTCCCTAAGTGCTCTGGGCGCCTATTTGGCATCTCAGCACAAGGCGAGCAGACCGCCATCAACTTCCTCCCTTGTGAGCCTATATGCTCCTCACAGTCCTGGTACGGCAGCCACCCAAACTCAAGATGTGTCCATCTCGTCCTTCTACTATCAGGAACGTGTGAGTGCCCCTACTAAATATTTGGAGAGCCAACTGCATTCTTTTGGTCCTGCTGGAACTAAGGAGAAAGTGCAATTATTGTCTGCTTACTGCCATATTGACACCAGCTGAGTTGGTCCAAGTTAGTTTGCTGTAGAGGCTCTACTGTAGCAAGTGAAATGGAGCTTTCATGCTTCCATAAGACACTGAATTATGCGCGATTCTCAGTTGCACTATAGCAGTTCAAGAAATTACCGACTTCTTATGAATTGTTTTCACTTTCAATCTTGTAGAAAGGAAGAGGCCGTACACAACGAAGAACAGGCCGTCAAGCTTCATCACAGCAGCATCCTGTCCCAAGTGCAGCTGTGCTCCTTTACAACATGTCGGGCATTATGCCAATCAACCAGGTCTTGGCTCAAAATTACCTGTATGTTTGACTTTGCCCAATACTTACTATTGTATTCTTAATTTCAAACAAGCCATCCCTGTCATTCATTGATCATACCAAGCTCAGCAATGTCTTTGAAATTCTATGATGCATTAGAAAAGTCTTTAGTGCAAGTGCATACCTTGGAGAAATGCTTTGAGTTGTATGAGTGCACAGACACCCAAGGCACTCCTAAGCTTGGAGTGTGAACATTTCATAAAGCTGCAGGGCAGGCTCAATGTCACTTTCCTGAGTTTACTGATTGAGCATTCGACAATGCTGTAAAATACCCTGCACCATAATGGGTACAGGCAATCCATTATGGCAGCGGCGTAGACTACATTTTCCCGGGGGGGGGGGGGCAGGGGCAGGCTGAGGAGTTCCGGGGGGGGACGGGGGGGGGGGGGGGTGCTTTTCCACGCAATTTTTTTTACACCGGCAATTATCAGTAGTTTATTTTAGGGGGTACATTTACAGCGTATGTATATCGCCATGTGTCCGTCACTGTGTGCGTTATTTTGTTTACATGCCACTACTAGTAGCTCGTTACATGGCACGTAAACAGCGTCTCGGTAAAGATCAAGGCCCGGGGGGGGGGGGGGGGGGGGGGCGGCAGGGGCAGGCAGGGGCAGGGCAGGCACCTCCTGCCACCCTAATAGGGTGCTATCAAACCTTGTGATCATGATAACCACTCTGTTATTATGTATAGCTCATCTGTCACAATTATCACCTATCACATTAGGATGTCTGTCTGTTTTAGGTTGGATTGTGGGGATCCAGTTGGTTCATGCAACCACAATGCAAGCTGGGCCGCCAGCGTGGGCCGGAAGGACCTTGTGCAGGTTTGTAAATGAACCTTGTTCTGTCATGTTGCGAGTTCAGTCACAAATAACTTAGCCAGAAGTTGGAAACTAGAACATAAACTGTGCTCACTTAGTTGATAGCTCATTTCATTGTATGTTACAAGTTTGTGCTTTGGATCATTGATATGATAGTTAGCCCTAGCTGCAACCAAAATGTCTTAATTCTTTTATTAATTTTATCAAGTGTTTTTACTATTGAATGAGTGAGAAAGTTTGTGTTCACTTTTATGTGTTTTCTGTCTAAGGATGTTTTGTTTTTTTCCCCAAGAGGATTACTGTAAATATACTGTGACTTTTGATCAGCTCACTGTTTACTGTTGGGTGGAAATACTTTACTCATTATCACCTGATTTAGTGATCTATCATACTGACATTTTCACTTCTTTCTGTGGAACAGTTATCTAATTATGGTTATATATGTTCACTGTGAGGGGGTGCTGTCATCTAAAGGTGATGTTAGCGCATTACATACTCTGCTTGCTAAGCTATGAAAATTTGAGCCTATTATCCTGGATAGATTCTCGGCACTTTACAAGACTCGGTAGTTATAAACTTCGTTCTACGACTCTTCTGTTTTCATAGTCAGCAGTTCCTTAACTCGGTGCTTGTTGAGTGATTTTTTATTGCTTTGTAACAAACACATATTTGCACAATTCTATCGCACAGTTAGAGTCTTGGGAAGTGCTTTAAGTATGTTGTACTTAAAATACTACTTCAAGTAGGCTTAGAAAACTTGTACTTTTTTTTAAGTACATTTTCTGAGTATGTACCTGTACTTAAAAGTACTTTTTTTGGTACTTTCCGAGGAAAGTACAACTCCCGATTTCAAAGTACATAGACCGATCTCACCAGCCAGTTTGACTACGCCACCGCTGCCGCAATGCATCGAGGGAACTTTAGTCTTTTTGCACATGCGACAACCTCGCTGGAGCTCTTCGCGTGTAGAGCACGAGAAGGCACAAGCCCTCGCGTGCACAGCCGTCTGCCTCCTGTGAACAAAAGTTATGGCGGCTTTACGCATGCGCCAAACGCTTAGTGAGATCGGTCTATTCCCCATATTTAGTTTGGTGAAATTAGTAAGCTCTTTCAAGGACCACGCGGTCATGTCCCTGGCTTTCCTAGTACTGTACACAACTTCTGTGGTTGATTATAAGAGTTCACCAACCTCTAACAAAAAAACGACATTGTGAAAACGTGCTGTTGTCTTTCAAGACATAATCTGATCATTTCTCTGAGTGAAGTAATGATGGCTATAAAGCTGATACAAATCAGCTTTATAGCCATCAGTTTGTTATAAGTTGATTTTAAATAGTAATCAGGGGAAAAATACAAAGATTTTTCCCCTGATTTTAGCATATAATATTTGCGCTTGTATTATATGCGAATCCAAACAATGCTCAGCTTTTTTAGGGTACATGTGAACGTAGTTTCAATTTCAACCACCACCATCATCATCAGCAACAGTTAGTGGCACAGTAGCGCCGCCACCCGATTCCGCTTTTTGCGGTCCGTTTTAACTTTTAAGTTGTTAGTAGGGGTGTCCCGAACTTTTGTCGAACCGGATTTTTAGGTCGAACCGGTTCGACGAACCTTCGAACTTCTCACCAGATCCGACCGGTTAGACTTTGTGGACAGTGTGGCCAGGCCTTGATACAAGCATGTCTAGGTTTGGAGAACTTTTCTTTTGTGCAAAGGGTTATTTTATTTTATGAACTGTTGCAATTAAAAGAAACCAATTCTAATCACTGAATAAGTTAATAACTTAATTTTTTTTGTACTGTATTAACTGAAATAATCAATCAGCGGTGCCCTTAATTTATCCCTTAGCCATCACCATCCAATCCGAAGCCAACTAGCCAGCCTGTCGCGCATGCGCACACGAGTCGAACCTCATTACAAGGTTCGTCGAAATTTCCACTAAAAGTTCTAAAAAGTCGAACCTGGTCGAACTCGAACCTCGGCCGGTTCGCGACACCCCTAGTTGTTAGGTCCACTGATCTCTATGACAATTGCTGGATCGCGCTTCCCGCTCCCGTGAGTGAAGCCACCGGACAGCCATCTTGCTTGTAGACAAATTGCGGTTTTGCTAGCGTTGCAGAGGCTGGAGGCAGTGTGCTGAAGACAAATTTTCTACTCGTTCGTCATGATTCAGCGAAGAAGTTTTTTAAAACCCTATGTAAGCGTTGAGAGTTGCCTTATAGAACACGTGGAAATTTTTATGAAAGCACAATGCAGCAGGAAAAAGGCACAACTTGTCAAAAGCAAGTTTCGCTGGTCTCGCAGCATGATCAAAGCTTCCTTGGCACGCCGAAGTGCTGCGTCTCTGTGCCTTCGCACGCTTGGATACCGATCAAGATTCAACGCCATGTGGATGTGTTTTGCGAGTGCAATGTGCTTGAAGCTGTATGTGCCTCTGGAGCAGCGTTTTACTTTACTCTGACGACAGTATTTGTAACTTGCGGCACTCGCAGTTCAAAAACGCGCTTGATCCAGCGTTCATTGGTGACGGAAGAGGGGGAGGGGGGAGGTATGTCTTTTTTCATCGTTATATGGTTTGCACAATACTGCACACAACAACTCATCACTGATCAGTGCTGGCTCATTATCAGCCTACTTAATTGCACTTGACGTTTGAGCATGGCTCGCCTAATTGTGATTGGTCAACAGATTGCGCACGACCATATGGGCCATGCTTCAAAGATTTTACTTCTCGCCGTCTTATAATTTTGCCTTTCGAAAAACCTTCTTGCTCCACAGCGCTGCTCCATTTGTGCTGCCATGTGATCCATTAGAGTAGATTTAAAACATAGCCATGGTTAATAGTGCATAGGAGCAACCATACAGATCCTCTCCCCCCCATGCTTTATCAATAGCATCTCGTTGGAACAGCTGGACAATCCAGAACTCCGTGGCCGATATATGGTGCAAAAACTTCTACGTGCAACATACCTTCTAAACTTTGCCGCGGGGCCGATTCTTGATCAGTATCCGAGCGTGCAAAGGCACGGAGACGCAGCACTACGGCGTGCCAAGGAAGCTTTGATCATGCTGCGAGACCAGCGAAACTTGCTTTTGACAAGTTGTGCCTTTTTCCTGCGGCATTGTGCTTTCATAAAAATTTCCACGTGTTCTATAAGGCAACTCTCAACGCTTACATAGGGTTTTAAAAAACTTCTTCGCTGAATCATGACGAACGAGTAGAAAATTTGTCTTCAGCACACTGCCTCCAGCCTCTGCAACGCTAGCAAAACTTGGTGAGTTGTGGTATGCAGATAAAATAATGATAGCTGACCCCCACATGGTTCATAGAACACAGTATATTGAAGGCACATGTTCACAAAAGCTGTCATAATCTTGCGCAAGTTTGTCCTGCCTCCAGCACGAGTTTCCTACCTTCGATAACACAGCGGCGTCTCAAGAGCTTCGAGTATGCACATATAGACGAAGCACAACAGAAGGTAAAGACCAATTGCTGGAGATAGGGTATTCAAAAGAGAACTATGAGATCACGAGACCAACAAACATGCCAATAGGGCAGAATTGGTGCTGCGGACAGCGTATGTGAAACTAGAAAATGACACCACAAAAACATGTGATGTATGGGTGGTAGCGGATATACCTATTGCATTGGGTGGTAGCTTGCGCTACCTAGCCTCCAACTCTAAAGCACATTGTGTCTATGTCAGTGGGTCTGTCCTTATGCCAAGTTTTTCTAGGCTTTCTTTGAATTTGGGGTTTTAAATCCAATTGTAATGTGCATGTAATTTTGAGTGCATTGTTTCCATATAAATAGTCTGCTTTTGAATTACGCAAATACAATACATTTGTTGGGCATGATAAATTTTTAACATACAAAAAGTTCCGTACAAATACAGTAGAACCTTAATAATAGGTTTTTCAGGAATCCACGGTAAAATAATTCAGCATCCGGGAAGACATAACCAATAACACTTTTGGGGATCTATAGATGAGACACGAAGCAACTCTTACACAACAATCAACATTACTAGTACAACTTTGTTGGGAGGCTTGCACTCGAAACACGAGCTCCTCACATCCATTGGAGGCAGGCCCCTACAAGTCGGATTCAATTACAGAGGTTATTCATTGTGTAGTTAGTTTGTTGTTTAGTTTGTACATAATTCATTTTGACAGGGGAGTCAACAGAAGTTTACTTTGCCAACACAGGTAGGATTTTTAATGCAAAAGCATTAACTGTCCCGTGGAGCAAGCTGACGTCATCAGTTTGGAGCGCGAAAGCGGCACCTAGTTTTCCCGATCTCAAAGGAGCGGAGTAAGGCTCATGGATTTCGCCTTCAATTCCATTGGCTGGTGCGCGTCAATGGGGCTCCCATTGGCCACTGCGCTCGTCACTTTCCACAGTTGCTCACCCCATGGCACTGCATGTCCATCAGCATGCCACCAACATGGAACGTCCAAGGTCACCGTGCCCAGGGGAAGACGCGCGTTGACCGGCGACGAAAAGTATACAGCAGGCGGAAAAGGGAGTGGACGAGCGGCTTGCATGCTTTCACATCCACAACTCATAAAAAGTGCTTAGGTGTACCTCAAGCTTTTTTTTTTTCTCTATCACTGTGGTGCGTTTTTAGAATTGGGCAGTTTGCGAGAAAGTCGCAGCATGGTGCGAACGTATAATCTCTGTTCCGGTATGTCTACTTCCTGGAGCTTCCTCTGCAGCTGAAACGGTTGTGCTACAACCAGATCTAGCTCGGTGCTGAAGTACAGGTTGTACCCAGTTCTCTAAAGGAGGCTCCTATGGTAATTTCCGAACTAAGTTGTTCTAGTAACATTGAAATTTATCTCACATGGACTTTCAGGGCTGTAGAGAACTTCCATATGGGTGTCTTTTTTTTTTATGTTCTTTAGAGTTAGGCGTTGATTTATAATTGTAACCATAGAATGTCAACCTATATGGGTGAGCAAAATTTTCGTGCCCATTTAACTACTAACCCAGAAGACTCTTCCCTGTAGCAGCTGCTGTTTCTAGCACTCCGGTGCAAAGCAGTCAAGTTCAACGCGTGCTCTTGGGCAAAATGGTGAAGCCTAACGTACAATGCATGATGATGAACGTTGAATGCCAAGGGAATCGAAACTAGCGGAACCAAGGAAACCAAGCACAAAAGAAGCATTTGTCAAAGAAAGAGTAGGAAAGCACATGAGCAGTTGCAAAAGCCTGAATCCCTTTCAAGCCTAGTCCATAGTTGTGCTTGCTCAGAGAGACAGGTGAAAAAAAAAGAGGAGTGAAGCAAAAGAAAGAAGGCAGCCCAATGCGTCTCGTCAATCACGTTGGGTGGCAATTTTTGAATGTATGGAATTTGAAGGCAAATGCAACAAATGGAGAGATTAGTACAATGAAACAACAGTGAGTGCACAGGCGAGCTGGTGGATGTTGATCATGATGTAGAAAACCCGAGACTGTGGTAAAAGCAGGGAAACTTGGTCGAAGAAGAAAGACGAGAAAAGAATGTCTCGAACTTGCCGGATTTATCTGTCTGCAGCACTTTAAGCAAACCTCTTTCCAATTCTCTCAACTGAAACCACGCCTCGGAAATTCCTTCGTTTTGCCGGATAAGACTTATCTAGAAGTCATTCCATTCTATCAACTGCCTGATCTACAAACGCTACCCTCTTGTCAAAATTGATCACCTTCAAAATGTCCTGAATCGAGGAAAAAACATCCAACCTCGAAGGTTTAACATTTAAGCAAAATTTTGGGCCTTTGCTTAACATCTGCTCTGCTTTGTCTGAGATGCCCACATTGCAAGGATTAACAATGCTACATTTAGATCCGTCCGTCACGTGCCCCAAACTCGGTGTACTTTCACTCCTCCTTTCTCTGTCCTCTTAAAACTGTCTAATACAATTCGCCACTTCACATAACACAGCCGCTCGAAGAGTTCCTTTTTTCCCGAGTTCCAGCGACGATAGTCCTGGTGGTGCCTGTAATCCTTGCCTCTGAGGCAGCGGCGTAGAGTTTCCATTTTCCCGGGGGGGGCAGACCCGGAATGTGGCTCAAAAAAAAAAAAGGGGGGGGGGAGGCTGCGGGGGGGGGGGGGGGGGAGAGGAGGAGAAGGTCCTTGTTTTATTTGTTCCGTGGGTTCTCCCCATAAGGGTCACCTGCAGCAGTCGGAGCCTTTACCGAGCATTTTGGTAAACCCGAGACTGGAGAAAAAGGGACAAGGACATAAACAAACGGACACGGACATTGTGACAGCTAACTACCTGGTGTCCCCAAATAAGACGCTCCGCAAAAGAATGACCCGGAAACTTCAGCGGTTTGACGCATCCAGTAGAAATTTCTCTGAATACGTGTTTTACTGGCCACATTTATGCAAACATATTGCAAGACTAAACTACCAGTACAAAAAAGCGAATCTTTTTTTTTTTTCTGCAGGGGTAGTTCGGGTCTAAAATTTTGTTGCATAAATGTGACCAGTAAAACACGTATTTCAGGAATATTCCTACTTGTTGCACCAAGGATCTAAATTTTGCGGGCCATTTTGTGTGTAAAGTGTATTTTGAGATGCCCATATATTACCAAACTCCCCGAGTGGATACGCAGGCTCACCAAAAGTGTTAATCCTTTGATCCCTAGCAGACACAAGTTGCCGTCGGCAGGGCTTGTCTACGCGCACTCTCCGCCTGGAGGCACGCTCCCCACGCGGCGACCTTGCTGTCCGGGATGCTCGTTCCTTTCGGTGCGCCGCCTCGTGTAATCACTTTTTGACGAGCTGGACTTCGCTTTTCAACGCAGGGACCCATCGGAGAGCCATTCGTCTTAATTTTTACACAGGATACCGAACGAACTGTCACGTTCTTAGCCGAGTCGGAACTGGGCGAGTCGACTTCCTATGAGAACGGCTTACGTTTCAAGAATGTCAATGGGTTCTGAGTTTAGGTTTCCATTTGCGGTGTTCGTGTCGGCTCACGGTTCAAGTTTCAATTGAACTTCGCTTGGCCCCGCTCGTTATTCCGGGACTCCAATCACGATCCTTCAGTTGCTTCCGTCTCTTTGTCAAATAAGCCTCAACCCAGGGAGTTAATATAAAATAGTTTCCACAGGTAATAAGCTCCGGTGACCTTGCCTCAAAGGAAGTGATCAAGCACTTGCTATTCTACTGACTGTTTGCGGCGTATATGTATGAATGCCTTCCCTGGGAATGTTCGTGAAGCCTATTCAGAATAAAACGGAAAAGGGGAGCGGATTGTGCCGCCTAGCGCCGCACTGTCCATACAAACGTTTTAAAAATGACAAAAGGAACACGTATCGGGCATGATGATTATTCTTTCCCCAAAGTTGGCCTTCGTAGAGACTCCGAAGGCCCAATCGCTCTCTTCCCCACAGGCTTTTGTTTCAAAGCAGTGTCCCTTTGTTTTTGTTGTGTTTTGCGATGCTGTTATTTGGCTTCTGGTGTGTATTTTATTGTCATGTTTTGTTTATTTTGTTAACACATGCAGCAGGGGAGAGTGGGGTAATGGTGGCACAAGAAGCTTTAATTATACGACTGACTTCAATTTTAAGAGGGCCAAAAATAATTCTCAGACGGTAGCAAAGACCATTTGATACCACTATACCTTGTGCGAAGCTGGGGTTACACATTTTTCCGCCAAAAGTTGTTTTCTGGACGAGTATTCGAGTCGCTGTTCGGTGACAAGACTGGTAGTAAAGCCCTTCACTGACCAATCAAAAATGTGTACAATATTTTCTTGGCCGAAAGGGCATTCATTTGTAGACGCGCAAGAAATTAAAAATTTTTTCTTGGCGAGCAGGTCTGCAGAATCAGTCACTGACTCACTGTGTCGGGGATGCTTCCTATTCTCAGAAGCATTTTTGTTGTCTAAACACCGACAGAGATGTCGCGACGCTTTCAAGACTTTTTTTAGCCTGTCATAGCTGAAGCGGGCACTTCAGCTGTTCATTCAGACAACATATTCCGCGCATCTAACTCCGTCTGAGGGGAATTTTCCACTGAATGTCTGACCTGTCACTGTCCCGAGATCCACCATTTAAAAGCCTGGAAGGAAATAAGAAGCGGGAATAAACAGGCCCCTGTGAAATAGTTGCCAGTCAGGACGGCCAACAGTCCACTGTCGATGGGCGCAGACCCAAGCCAAGCTCTTTAAAAAAAATCCCGGGCCGGGGCCGGGGGGGGCTCTGCCCCCCCCGTGAAGCCGTCCGGGGGGGACACGAGCCCCACTGCCCCCCCGTAGTTGGCGCTTATGCTCTGAGGAGTGTCCAGATGCAATCACAGGCCCTGCCTCTTCTATTCTTGTGCTTGTTCCTTCTCTGTAAACCTTGATTATCTTCTTTTTGGCGCTCCAACCCAACCCTGTCGTTGAAAGATGCTTGAACCGGACCGGATCGATGTAGCGTTTCCTCAAGCAAATGCCGAAGAAGGCGACTTCTGCTTCCAGCTCGGCTTGAAGAAGTAACTTAGTTGGTTGCGGGTAGCTTGTGGATCCATAGGATCCACAAGCTACCCGCAAGTTGGTAGGTTGGTAGGTTCATAAAACTTGAGGCATGCATTTTTGTTGATAGACGAGCTGGTTTTTGCAGGGATTTTTGCAGAACTTATATGTGCAGGCGAAATAAGTTACCGGCTGTAGAAGTGCGAGGGGAGGGAAGCTTATCCCAACTGAAGTGTTGCGCTATGATTCACTTTTCATCAATTTTTAGTACCCATTATAAATGGAATCTTCTCTGACTAGAGCCTTATTTCTAAAAGGAACACCCTGTGTTCTTTTGGCGCCCTATCTATTCTTATTACAAAAACTAATAAGTAATGTGCTCCAGTATCAAAGAGGAACCCTCGGTTATTATCAAAGGTGAACTCATTTAGCGATGCATTCACTTTTTAATTTTTAAGTGATGTGCTAACAGATGTTAATATCTGCTCCAAAAGGATCAGTGTCTGCTCCAAACCAATGTTTTGCCTGCTACAGAATCTGCTACAAAAGGCCAAATGCTGCTTCCATCATTGGTATACTCTAACTGAGAATTTGCACTGGATTTGTCGCTCAATATACCATGTAAATGTATAAATGAAGCAAGTGTTGAAGTTTAATTTACTCTTTGTACATTTATGTGCACATGCATTTAGCAGTAACCGATTCACCAAAAGTAATTTTCATGTTTCATGTTCAGGTGTGGTCTCTGGCTGCTCTTGTTGCCAATCCAGATCTGGCGCATGACAAACAAAGTCCTGACGTGGGGGTTCCGTGGGCTCAACATCCCTTCGGCAGACAGATGCTGGAATCAATGTATGTTGTATCATGATTTTTAGTAGCTTGTTTCATTTCACATTTACATTTCATAAAATGTGCCTAAAAGATGTTTTATCTCATGCTGCTGATTTATTGGTGTGATATTGCTCAATTGAGAATTAGTTTTGTGCACATTTTAATTATGAACTGCTCTAGTTGAAATGCTTGATTTATATACAGCAAAAGTATTCTGCTAATCACATTTCCACTTCGTCATGAGATGGTTACTGTGATAAGGCAGGATGTGCAGGGCGTGATACAGTTAACACGAACAAGTGATCACCGGTATTGCTGGTTTTGACAGGGTGTTGTGACAACTGGATCGCTGGTTGTGACTAAAACTATTAGTGTAGTGGAATGTGCTTATAAAATGATAGAATTTGGTGTGAAAGATGGGCAGTGAGCTGGAAGAATTGGCACCTACACGGGGGTAGTGAGCTCATATTTTTGTTTTCATCAGAGGTGTATTTCAGTAGCTTCGTTCCTCTGAAACATGACAACAGCTTACAGAATTTCAATGAGTGCCTACACAGATGATTGAGTCATGCCACACAGGTGAGCAGCGTGTGCGTGGCAGATCTGCACAATTGCATTTACATTTATTTCTTTTAGTTGCAGCATTAAAGTGCATAGTTAATTTTAGTGAGAAGTTATATTAGACTATCCACTGCTGTCATAACGTTTCCCAACTGAGATACATTGCACCGCTTGTCGATAACCACTTCAAATACAACTCTCGGTGCAACTCGGTTTCCTGCATCAGCGCTTTCATGAAAATTTGAGCTCGCCGTGTGCAGGCATCGATTTTTCCAGCTCAAATCTGTTGTGCTGTGTACAGACCATCTGCTGCTTGGTCTCTGTAGAGGTTGAGTCCATTGCCAGCACATGACTGAGCATGTCTGAAGGAAATGTGACAAGTTGCCCCTCATACATTTTAAAGTAAGATTTCTTTATACTTTTTTGGTCTTTAGAAAACAAAACAAAAATGTTTGTCGGCCAGAGTGGCCATTTGAAGGTTCTGATTAGTGGTTATTTGAAAGCTCATACAGCTTTCATAGTGAGTCCCATTTATTCTTACTTGACGTCTTTTGCAGCATTGGTCACTACCTGAGACACTCTGATATACAAACCGTAGCAATGCTTTGCTGTCTCTTTGGTGGAGGAAATGTGGATGGAAACAGTGGAAAGAAGTTTGCTTTTGATCAAGCCTGCACCAGTGTAAGTTCTGTCATTGGCATTGCATTTTTTGTTCTGCAACCTCTTGTACTCCCCGATTTCTGATACCTTGCATTAAACCTGTTTTTAGCTTTTATAATTACATTTTTGAGTTTGTCACTCAGGCAGACTGATAGCTAGGCATACTGTATTGATTTTTCTTGTAGCTATCTTAAAAATAATCTTCTTCCAAACTCGTTAACACAAACATGCAACTTTTTAGATGGTTTGAAACAGTTTTAAGGCATACATTATTTTAGTCATTTGTTTGTAACTGCTGTTTTTAAGCTTTCTCAGCTCAGAAGGAGGCTTTAAATAATCAGCATTTGCAGCTCAACGTATACACCAACGTGCAGCTCTGACATGCGGTGACGCTGTTGTTGGCACAGCACATGCGCAGATACTTTACTTCAAGCAAATTTGGTTTCTGCGCATTCACAGTGCCCACACCTGGTGTGGGAAAACTCCTGCTTGTTTGTAAACAGTGTGTTAGGCGATAGGCTATTTTTTTACAGCGAAGCTGTTATGCGCTAGGATCTAGGAAAAAAAGTGAAAGCCGTTAACAACTCCCTGTAACGCCTAATTAGAGCGCAGCTCTTGAGGAGGAGGAGGGAAGGGTACTGGGGGGGGGGGGGGGGGGGGGGGTCACGTGACGATGACAATGCTGATGCAGAGCCGTATATTGGGAGAGTTTGGCCAGTGGGTGTGGCGACGAAGGCGCGGGAGAGGAGAAAAGTAAATGAAAGGGAGGAGAGCGCCGAAGGAGCGAGAGAGAAATAAAGAAGCAGAGAGGAGACGACAGCCATTTTTGAGCAACGCTGTCGGAGACTGGTCGGAGAAGAGCGCTGCTGAGGCTACGCGTCGTCTGCTACGGGCCGGCTTCTTTTTTCGCCTGAATAAAAGTTCGTGGCCATACACCGAAAAATCTTCATTTATTAGCTTTTTAACCCACCGAGGAATAACAGAATGTCATTTTCTTGCCAGAGCCAGCGATATAAAAGGCAATAATCGAAATTTAGATGCCGATCCCACGCATTCCGCCGGGAGAATGATCGAAGATGGCGGCCTTCCCCACTCAGCTGCGAGCAGCCGGGAGTTCGCGCGCATGCGCTCATGCCTCTCGCTCTGCGCCGCGTGCTGATTGGCTCGCTCGGGAGGAGAGCGTTACGGCAGCGAGATCATAGACTGACCAAACTCTCCCCATATACGGCTCTGTGCTGATGATGTCATCAGTGACGTCACTGATGACGTCATCAGTGATGATGACGATGCGGACACCGATGACGTCATTAGTGACGTCACTGATGACGTCGTCAGTTATGATGATGATGACGATGCGGATGTCGGTGACGTCACTGATGACGATGCAGATGCCGGTGACGTCATCAGTAACGTTACTGATGACGATGCGGATGTCGGTGACGTCATCAGTGATGACGATGATGCGGGTGCCGGTGACGTCATCAGTGATGATGACAATGCAGATGCCGGTGACGTCATCAGTGACGTCACTGATGACGTCATCAGTGATGATGACGATGACGATGCAGATGCCGGTGATATCATCAGCGACGATGACGTCATCGGGGGGGGGGGGGGGGGGGTCACGTGACCTCAGGGGGTCACGTGACTTCGGGGGGTCACGTGACCTCGGGGGGGGGGGGGGGGGGGCTCGCGCAGTGCATTATAGGACATTTCCCATAATGCACCGCGCGGTTACGCCGACGCCGGTCAAGCCGGAAACGGGCGCCTAAGAGCTGCGCTCTAAAATGCATCTGCGGATGTTGACAGAAAGCTTCCCATTTGTCGTGGCAGATATGAGTAAAAGTCAAATTTGGGAGTTTTACGTGCCAAACCAACGACGGGTATCTGGCATGCCCCAGCGGAGGACTGAGGATTAATTTCAACCACCTGGGGATCTTTTGACGTGCAACCGAAAGCTTGGTTACACGGCGCCTTCTCCGCAATAAGCCTCCATCAGATTGCGAGCACTTCGGCCGGGATGCGAACCCGCCACATGGGGATCCGTAGGCCAGCGCTCTCGCCTCGGAGCCACCGAGGCCGCTGGCAGATATGAATAAATAAAAATAAAAAGAGGGGGCAACCAGCATGAGTCAGCCTTCCTTGGCATTATTAGATAGTGAGGTCCTCATCCCTTGTTGTCATCTCTAGGCATCGTCCTCAAGGTCGTCCTAGAAGTCGTCCTCGAGGTCGTCCTCGAGGTCGTCCTAGGAGTTGTCCTCGAGGTCATCCTAGAAGTCACCCTTGAGGTCGTCCTCTAGGCGTCGTCCTCAATGTCATTCTCGAGGTCGTCCTAGAAGTCGTCCTCGATGTCGTCCTAGGCATCGTCCTCGAGGTCATTCTAGAAGTTGTCCTTGAGGTCAAACTAGACGTCATCCTCTAGGAGTCGTCCTCGAGGTCGTCCTAGAAGTCGTCCTTGAGGTCATCCTAGACGTCGTCCTCTAGGTGGCGTCCTAGAAGTCGTCTTTGAGGTACTCCTAGACGTCGTCCTCTAGGCATTGTCCTAGGCGTCGTAATAATAACAGCTTCGCTGGTCCTCTATCTTCACATGATGTGGAAGGGCTCTACAATTTTTTTTCTTTATTAATGCTCATTTGTAATTCTCATTCCCTATAGGGTAGTATGAGATGCTACTTTCATGTTTGTTGATGATTCAAAGAAAAGTAATTCGGTTAATTCGAAGTATGGATGAGGTCCCGGCAATCGTACATACAAGTCTCTGGGAAAACGCAGGCAGTAATTCAAAGTTCAACCGCTGAGACTGGTCAATTCTGTCTTTTTTTTTTTTTTTTTTTTTTTGTGCAGATTAGAAGTTTAGTAGCTCCAAGAGGATGAAAAGGTCTCGCTATTATGCCAACCATGCCTAAAATGCAACCATGCACGCTTTATCGCTTTTATCTACTGTTTCTGCAATTAGGAAAAGAGCTAACAAACACGGCTAAGCCATGGAGCCAGCCAAGCATAGCAGTGCGCGCATGCCATAGCACCATACGCCATCGCAGGACATTGTGCTTATCATCCTTGGCACTGCGCTATACTTGCTACCATCCCTACGGGAATGATCAACAATGTGGCTGCATGGCATGCAACAAGGCTGGGCTCGAGGAATTGCCCAGTCCTCTGGGATGTTTCGTCCATCGAATACATTGATGTCAGCTAACACGCTGTGGTTTGTGGTCCACTCTTGGGCAGCAAAATCGTACAAGCTTAGGAACCGTCGTGTCACTTTCCATGCTGAGTGCCACTGATGCAGAAACTGTATCTGGCATCCTAGAGCCTTTTCTTTTTTTTTTTTTTGGTTTAGAGAATTTGGAAGGTGCCCAAGAAAGGTTAGCAATTTGCAGAGCATAGTGTTTGGAGTGTGTCTCTGCAGGGGCAAGCAAAATTCACCAACTTCTTGTAAGTGCATACTGAAGAAAAAAAAAACTCATGGTTTTAGTGTATTTTTATTTAATCAGAAGCATTTCGCTGTCCCTATGAGCTTAAAATTATCGAGAGTCGACTAGGACATGTACTCACCGTGGAGACGGTTTGTGTGTGTGTCTTTTTTTGTGTCTTCCTTCTGTTCGTTAGTGTAAGGTTTTAGTTATGTTAATTCATGAGGATGTCCTGGTTCTGAAATAAAGAGTATTGCATTCTAGGGTTTATAAACGCAGAAAATATTGAGAACGGGTGTGCCAGTTTGACACACCCGTTCACTCTGCTTTGACAGGCAACCTTTGTTTCACTGCACCTTACTGGTTTGCTCCTATAAAAGTTTAAATTCTCCAGTTCTCTTAACATTTTTATGCTAGCCCCTCTTTGTGACATACTGGGAAATCTGCCACAGCTTGTGTCCGCTTAGAAATGCAGACAACAAATAATGGGAGTGAGTGCATGCTATTTCAAGGTGAAATTGTTAAGACAGACCCCCTTAATGTCAGTAAAAGCAGTCTTGAAGATATGACCCGAGCATAGGTTTCCTCACTCATGCCAAGAGATGTATTCACAATTGGCAAAAGTCTGAGTCCATTTCATTTCTAGTCTTATTTAGAAATTTTGACTATATCAGTTTTGTTTGTAGGCAAATTTGATTAAACAAAGGTGAGCAGTCATGAAGAAAATCAAGGACCCTGTCTAATTATTTTTATTAGCCCTGGAAAGTATATTGAGCTTACTTCCATTCCCCTGTCTTTCATCTAACTTATTCTGCATGAAAGATTACATTCATGCCAGGCCTAGGATATTTCAAAGTTTAATTGCATAGACTTAGTACTTATCCTCTCAGAATGTTGGATTTATCATCATTGACATTAGTGCAAGCAGTTTTTTGTCATGTCGTAACACTAGGACAAAACTAAAACCACGGGTTTTTAAATGTTAACTCCCAAGTCAGTGAGGTAGTGTCTGGCTGTACCTACGAGTTCTAATGGAGAGAGTATTCTTACATTTATTTTCCAGAGGGGAAAAAAGTTTTTTTTTTCATATATGTATCCATATACTTTACCTAATCATACAATATTCCTCATTTTATTTTGCACAATGTTATGTGTTTCAGTTGTATTTTGAAAGGTAAGGAGAGCTATTGTCAGTCATTTTCATAGGCTACATCTGAAGGATTGTGGTGGTTGTAGGTATCGCACTAAAGTTTTTAAAAGGGAAGAACATTTTAACCTTATTTTCATAGACAAAATACAGTTGGATCTCATTAATTCAAATCTCTTAATTTAAACTTGTGGATAATTCAAACAGACATGAAGGTCCCATCCTATGCGTCTCTATGGGAGAAAACTCCCGGTAATTCAAACTTTGCTTTATTCAAACAAAATTTCGGTCTCCCTCGAGTTTGAATTAATGAAATTCGATTGTATTAAATTTCAATTTATCTACCGTCTTGTTTTCTTGAGGTTTCTTTTTGTGTTGTTGTCTCAAATTACCCAACATGATACTTATTATTCTTGCAATTTTATCTGTTTCGTTTCTTCATCATTGTTAGTTATCTGGAGTTCAAAGTTTTAACAAATTGGAACCTCTATTTGATATTTCTACAGTAAGTTATCCATGCATCATGCAGTAGTGATCATATGAGTGCACACTAGCAGGGGACGGAAGTGAAGCCAAGAATGTTCTCTGTATTCTGCGGTGCAAGCTTTTGGTGCACATACTCCGAGGTGCAGTGTGTTAATACACTTGGCCACAGGTCCCTCCCCCCTTCCCCGTAAATGGCTGTCAATGGGAACTAACAGTGAGTGTGCATCTAGTTTGTTATGCCTAACTTTTTACTTTTTTGTGTTGAGTATTTGCTTCCACCTACTGGTCCAGGTACATAGTTCCCAGATCATTCTGTACTCCGTTTCACAATAACTTGGCGAACTGTGGAGGCTGTGGCTCCCGCGTCCCAATAAGAGCGTCAGAGCAAGGCACATGGCAGCATTCCATGGTCAAGGCCACGGAGGCCTCGTTACTGCCACAGCAACAGCGCCGTCCGCAACAAAAGTAGTTCCAGGCATCTTTTATTTTAACGGCAATTGAAGTCGCTCTATTGCATCTCTATCGACACTACACTACATGGAAGAGAGGCAAAGACACGTTACTTTCCTACGATACTTAGCTCGGATCAAGCCTTTTCCGATAACAATGTGGCGTTTGAACGATGTTTCAACGATCGCAGCCCTGTAATTGACCACTTCCGGTCAGAACGTCATCTGGGCATTAGCACCCGCCACAGATTCGCGGGTAAATTGAGCACATGGTTGTGTCATGATGTGTTCCTGAAGAGCTCGCTACCCTAGCGTACGGCAATGTGGCAGCGGTGGATGTACATTCTAATGGCCAATTCGTCTGGGCCCGCATCGCACCGGTGCAGTGCGGTTCGTGGTACACGGAAGGCTAGAGGGGAGAGGGGAGCTTCCTTCTCTCCCCGCCAGTCTTTCGTGTACTAAAGTGGAAAGAGTTTACTGCACTGGACGGGTGCGGTGTGCCCCAGACGAATAGGCCATTAGTTGGTTAGTTTCGCAGCAGACGACTCTTTGCAAGCAGACGACAGCCGTTTCCTCCAGGCCTCGCATTTGGTGCAGTGACACAAACACTTCCGTGACGCAAGGATATGTGCCTCGCTCCGACGCTCTTATTGGGTCGCGGGGGCTGCAGCCTCCATAATTCATCAAGTTATCGTGAAACGGAGTATAGAGTGTACGGCATTCTATTTCAAAGGCCACGCAAACCCTGAAATGATTTTCTCCAAAACATGCCATCATACTTAATTACGACTGACCGGAATGTTATTGGACAGATGAGCCGTAATTCTGACTCGCAAAACATCTAGAAATTATCACTCTAAACTCTGGTTCACACAGTTGCTTTTGACTGTGACCAAGTGCGTTGTGACCTCCTGTGAGCGCTTACGACGAGAGAAAACGCCATAAGTCGATGGAACACACTAGTACACTGGTGCCACCTGTGAGGTAGCCCTGGAACTATTTTACCAGACTAAAGGTTTCGCAGTATTTGCGAGGTCAAATCTATGCTCTATCGACGAGAAATGGTCATTTATAACATTGTTAACAAGTGTTTCAAGCCTGAGGTAAAAGACTAATGCATAAAGTTTTTTTAAATAAACATAAATTGGAAGCGTTTCAGGGCCACTCGATAGATGGCACCAGTGTGGCCTCTTCAGAAGCGGCCACAGGAGATCACAATGCACTCAGTCATAGACAAACGCAAATGTGTGAACCAGCCTTTATGCTGTTTCAATAGTTCAAACTTGTGCAACTAAGAAGCATTTTTTTTTCTTTTTTTAAAGAGAATTTGAGGCGTTCTGTATTTGAGGAAAAACACTTAAATCTTCCCCTCCAGGATCACGAATATCGAGATTATTTTTCAATTTGGCGCACGGAAGCTGCAGAAAATCATTTGCAAAGTACCACCGAAGCCCCTCCTTCCCAAAGCGTGACGTCATATCAGGGTTTTTCGGAATCTCCGCTCTCACGCATCTTCGGCGCCTATCAAAGCTATGCACGTGCACTCTTTGTTATTTTCAAAAAAGTCAGAAAAAGACGTCACGACTGGTGTCAGTGCAGGGGAATATACATGGCAGGCTTGCAATTGCACGCGCTGCCCCCCCGAGCGACACGCGCTTGGCGGCTGAAAGAGCTGGCTATGACGTAACAACTGGTCGGAGATTTTTCGTGTTTTCTCGCATTTAGTTACATCTTCGGAAAAACGAATTTGATATTCAGATTCACGGGATAAAAATACTCTAGAATTCACCTCTAACTCGTTTTTTTCCAAGAACCTCTTCAGCTTCCCTTTAAATTTGAAAATGCCAACAACAGTATTTTTTTATTTTTCAGAGCATGTTCCTTGACTGTCACTTACATCACCCCATGAACCTCTCATTGCATTGGGGCTTTTGGCCTGCAGATACCCTGAATCAAAACTTCCAAGTTGAAATCATGTTCCACATTGGTTGCATAGCTGTGATCCCAAGTTTTAGTGCATGAAAATTTTAATTTGTAGTCCCTAGCCTATTTTTCTGCTTCAGTAAGGATGAAAGAAAGCTACTAGGAACTTCCAAGTGGCAGCCCTGTTTCTAAGAAGGAGACTTAGTGAAATGGCTGCTGCTGTAAAACTTCCAGCTGTTTTTTTTTTTTTTTTCAAGATCTTTGTGGCATTTTTTATTACCTTCATGATTTGTTTAGCCCTCTTTGTTGCACTATTATTATAGACTATTCTTCCATTCAAAATATTTTTGAAACGAAAAAGGATATAATCTAAAAATGTTGGTTTGGCAGTCATATTGTGAACTAATATATTTAATTTATATATACCGGTATTTATTTATTTATATATGTATATATAGTACATAACTTCTAATATAATTATATGTTTATTAAAAATTGTGCATTTTTATATTGTACTATGTCAACATAAATTTGATTTCAGAGGCCTGTTGGTATTCTCTTTCTCAAATTTGAATGCCTGTCTTAATGAATAACTTCTTTTTTTTATTGTGCTTCTATTGCTAAGGGAGGGGGGGGGGGGATAACTTAAAATTAGGACTTTATTTTTATGCTTTCATAATTTTTTTTATGGTGTGCATGTCAACAAGAACTTTTTTTTTTTACCTTGACTGTGCTTTAAAAATTACTAAAAACTACCGACAAAAGTTTAATGAAACCGTTAAACAGGCAGTTTTATGGTTACTGAGGTGCATTTAGTGTACCCTGGTTATCAGTAAATTTTATTTCAAGCTAATATAGTATGTTCATAGTCTAGAATTAGTATCTGTGGAGTTGCAAGACAGTATTTTTTAGTAGATTATTAATAGTTTGCATGAACACTGCACTGCACTTGCCTAACTGCAACGTCAGTTGTCTCTTATTTATGATTGATTCACCTTTGTTGATGCTTTTACTGCCTGGCAACATCTTGCTTGTGTTTTAATGCTCACTAACTTATACTAAAACAGCTGTTAAAATGGTGAATACTTTTGGCTTTTGGCTTGGTAGGAGCATGCTTAATTTTAAGGGGGGATGTGGTTTCTCAAGAAATGTTTTTTGTTTATTGACCTAGCCATTACTTTTGGAATGGTTATGCAGTTTGTCGTGCTGATTATAGAAATGCAATCAAATTTTACAAACTTAATAAAAAAGTCATTAGTTAATTTCTTACAGGTTTTTAAAAGCTTTCTTATCAAAATAATTTATTTAGATTGGTGTCATTTGGTTCCAAGAGATATACCATGCATGCTAAAGCTATTTTTATTTCTTTAAGTTCAAATATTCTTGAACAAACACTAAAGTAAATGGAGGCTTTAAAATAAAGGCAATGACAATGCACAGTTATGGAATAGAAGTTGTTTCATTATAAAAATACAACAATAAAAATAGATTTAGCTTGCAGTTTAGCTATTTCCAGAGAAAATAAAGCCAAGTTTATAAGAATCTGTTGAGTAGAAGTTGATGAAAAAAACTGTAAGGCTGAAGCAGTGCTAAAAAAACTAAGCTGAGAAAATTGCCTTTGAAGCTTTTTTTCATGCATTCAGTCAGGCTCTTTGATACTTCTAGTATGTTTGTTTTTTGATTAGCTAGAGCTTGAATGGAGCATTCATGTTTTAGGCGTAAGTACTCTGAACTGTAAAAACTACAAAATAGTAATTAAAAAAGTACATTTTTGAACTTTTCTTGTTTTTTGAGAAGCATCGTCCCCCCTTAAGTTAATAGCCTATGTTTCTTTTGCTTGTTTTTATTAAGAGTTGGAGCCACACATTTACAAACATGTTTATTTATCCTCAATGCTTTCATTTGCAAAATATAACATGAGATTGCTCTGTACAAAAATGATCTTTGATTGATTTTTTTTAAATCTGAGACTTGTGTGGCATGTGTACTGAATGGTGATGGGCTCTCTATTTTGGCACTACAAAATTAGCTCATAGCCTATCTGTAGACATAATTTAATGCATTCTTCAGCAATTGCTCTGACTGTTTTTTTGCCACATCTCTGTCTCTTCTATTTCTCTCTTATCCTTCCCTCTTTTAGCAGCTTTCTGGGAGCTGGTGGCAGAAGGTATGTGTAATGATCCCGAATGTTGTAGACTGCTATGCTTTACTGCTGATTGCTCTTGAAATTTTTACCTGAAACTTTGTGCCTGTTTTTCTGCACAAAACCTACAAAGTGGCAGTCTTGTTTAGTGGTCATGTTTATGTAGTGCTCTATGAATCTACGTTGCAGTGACATTATTTATATAGCCCCACCTATAGTTCTATCCTTCGAGTGCAAGTTCTGTATTTTGTATCACTTTATAGTTATTTGTCCTCGGGGACCAATAGCATTTTGAACCTGAACATAGTTTTCCCGTCTTGCTGAACAATATATATCCGAGCAATGTAAGGTTCCAGGTTATGAGACCATGTGAATAAGCTATGTCAAACTAGACAACCTAAGCTGTTGCTTGTTGGCATATCGAGAGATTGAGGAAAAGTTACATTTGTGGTATTCAGGAAGTAGCAAGGGAATTAACTCTCGTGACACCGACTTTGTGCAGGCCCTTGATTTATACAAGCAATATCAAATCTACTTATATTAACCTGTCATCAGCTATGGACAGAAAACAGTAGTGTAGCTGACAGCTGTATTGCAACTTGCTAAGACTACTATGCTGCTGCTTGATATTTTTCACTCAATTCGCTGGTTTATAAACAGTGCAAGGCACTGTAGTAGTTTTTGCTATTGAGTCCTCATTCAAGCAAAACCAAGCCTGCTTATTGTTAGATTAGTAGGTGCCCTCTTTTTCATGTTCCTCATTGAATACTGTGTATGGCACTTCAGCTAGACGCTTGCTCTAGCCAAAGTTAGCTTTTTTTTACTTGGACTGACAACATTCCAATTATTTCTTTGCTTCACGTGATGGAACTTTCAAGAACCGTGGATTTAAAGGGGTACTGCAATGATTTTTGGGCTTTGGCCCAATTTTGTCATTTCTAGAATCAAAAACTTAAGACCATATTTGCTCACATGCTCTAGTCTTTATTTAAAAAGTAGAACAGATTGGGGGGGGGGTGTTTGTAGTACTTCTTAACTTTGACAGTCTTTTGAGTCACATGTGCAGCGACGTACCCAAGGGAGACAGAAAACTCTCTTTAGCTCTCCCAGCATGCACTGCTCAGCAGCAAAAATTAATTCCGCCTGCGCTTTCGAACTGCCTTTGATCTCTGGAGGTTTTCGCCTCGAATCAGAACACTTTTCAAGCTTCAGTTCAATCACGTCGGCACCGCTGATGTTCGCGGTGGGTAGCCAATCTCAGACGAAAAAGAAAGTACAAGTATAAACACGTTTTTGTCTGTTAATCACAGAAGCAGTGGAGAAATGATGGTTTTGTTGACTTCAGGTAAATGGCACCATATAATAGAACCTTGGCGACGATAAGAGACTATTTAGTTTTATGCTTTGCTATTACACGGTGGAATCGCTGTTTTCCGGGGGCAAGTGAGATGTTTCCTTTTGCTTGTGCTAAGATGAAATGAAAGTAACATATTGCAGACTCGGGCAGCATTAAAATTGTTGCACTGCCTTTTTAAGAAATTCTCTTGCCATTAAGTTCACGTGTGTCGCATTCTTGTTACAATTTGTTTTAGGTTTCTTGTATCGATGCAATTTCCTCCGTTTAATACTTTGTGCGAAATGCATTTTCCGCACTAATTATTATTTGTAGAAAGGATCTGACAAATTGCAGGATGTTTCACCAATAACTGGGAACAACTTTTTAAAAAAAAAATTAGAAAAAGGCACTTGAAATAAAGAAATTATTCCTCCAGGATAATGTTGTCGATTGCGGCGGACGTCAGGGTATGAATGCAAAGTGATCATTTGCAGTCTTATTTCCCAAAATCCACTAATTGGCTTCTTTATATATTTGCCTTATCTGTCACATTCTAATTACAGATTTGTTGCACGTCCTAATATTCATAGCTGTTGGAATTCAAACAACTAAATTCTGCTGTGCACTGCTCTCTGGCAAGTTTAAGTCGTGCGGAGACTGAGATCTGAAACTGAAACATAAAAGAGCTAAGGAAGTCCTACCCGGAAGTAACATCAGCCATGTTAGCGGACCCAGGTAGGGGGTGATTGCAAGCCGACCTGACTGTGTGTCACATTATCTAAGGGTCATGTGATAATAGAGAGGGTGTGGCGTGGCACACGGATGTATCCTCGGGCATGCAGCTTGGACAGTTTTTATTTTTTAGTTTCGGTATGGTGGACTATAGACAGCCTTACTTTGCCAGAAAATAGTGCTGAGCAGATTCTAGTACCGTATTCTGAATTCTAATAACAGCTATGGCATATTTTGATGACGGGCAACAAATATCTAACTAAAATATTTAAATCTTTTTAATATAATTTTTGGTCATTGGCAAAATGACTTTTAAATTCTATTAATGATGTGACAATCCTTTTCAAGCTTGAAATTTGGAAATATAACTACTGATTCAAAATATTCAACAGTATATTTTAGGCTCCATAGCATTTTGTATAAACATTACAGAAATATTTTCTAAACACAAATTTGCAATTATTTTCATAGCCACTTCCTTATTTGCACCAAACTAAAATAAATTTGTAACCTGCTTCTTATTTGCACCAAACTAAAATAAATTTGTAACCTGATGATAAATTTACTAAAAGGATTAAAAGAATTAGGCGTTTACAAATCTCTGTAATGCGAAATTGGAGTGCAGCTCTTGAGGAGTAGGAGAGGAGGGTATACCCCTCCTCCTCCTGCTTCCGTCCTCCCCTCCTCCTTTCCTGCTCCTCCCCTCACCTCCTCTTCATCTCAACTCCTCCCCTCACCTCCTCTTCATCTTAACTCCTCCTCCTCTCCCCTCCACCTTTCTTCCCCATTTTCTCCTCCCCCCCGTACCTTCCCCTCCTCATCCTCCGCACGTAACATCAATTTTCCTGCTAAATCTAGCGGAGAAACTGAATTTGTTCATGGGTGACGTGACGCCAAGTCATGGGACGTCATTTTCCCCGCTAAATTTAGCGGGGAAACTGAATTAGTGTTGAGGTCACGTGACATCAGTTTTCCCGCTAAATTTAGCAGGGAGTTAAATTGCTGTTGAGGTCACGTGACATCAGTGTTCCCCCTAAATCTAGCATAGAAATTGAATTTGTTCATAGGTGACGTAACACCAAGTCATGTGACATCATTTTCCCTGCTAAATTAAACGAAGAAACTGAATTGGCGTTGAGGTCACATGACGTTAATTTTCCTGCTGCATTTTGCGGGGAATTGAATTGCTGCTGAGGTCACGTGACGTCAATTTTCCCGCTAAATCTAGCGGAGAAACTGAATTTGTCCTTAGGTGACATGACACCAAGACGTGACTTCATTTCCCCGCTAAATTTAGCGGGAATTTGAATTGCTGTTGAGGCCAAGTGACGTCAATTTTCCCGCTAAATCTAGCGGAGAAACTGAATTTGTTCATAGGTGTTCATAGGTGATGTCATTTTCCCCGCTAAATTTAGCGGGAAAACTGAATTGGTGTTGAGGTGGCGCAGTTATGCCGATGGCGACGCCATTCAACCCAGAAACAGGCGCCTAAGAGCTGCGCTCTAAAAACGTTTCAGAAGTCGTGTCTGACCATTGGTGCCTCACATCTCCCGAAATTAGCTTTCCACGTGGATTCCATTTTTACACCATATTGGCACCCCACAGTTCCTACACACTTGTGCCCTTTGAGCTCTAAGTGCACTTTCCACTGTTTACCAGTTCTATAGCCCCGCTTCATCACACCCCTCAAATTCGGAAAGCTTGGATATTTTAAATTATCTCATCTATTCAACGTAACTGTGGTTAATGGCACACAGTGGTAGGAAACTAACATTGTCTCAAGTGATCACAAAATGGGGTGTACAAAATAGCAAGATGCAGGAATGGCAAGGGTGGGTTGGTTGTTCTCGTTGCAACGTCAGGTGGGAAAAGCTTGTCCCTCAGCAATGGAGGCGCTGATGTGATCATTTTGCTGCTTATTATGTAATTGGCAAGCTGTTTGTGAAAGTGTTCACATTTGCACATCTCTGAATGGGCTTATTTCTGAAAGAAATGAATTCCTGCAGGATCTTCCATCTAGAAGTAATATTGCTTAATATAAAACTTTATATTGCTTTTATGTTTATTGAGACTGGAATCTTTGAAACATTAAGACTGAAGTACTTGCTATTTACGAGGCTTCCAAATTTTGTTAATGGCCTGTGCAAGAATGCATAATGCAGATATATATATTTTTTTAATATCCGAGTTTGAATGTGAGAAGGGACACTTTTTAGTGACATGCAATACTTCCCCTTTCACACCTGTTTCCTCTTTGTGCACATATACAGGGTGTTCCACGTAACTTGAGCCAAGGTTTAAAAATATTTTGGCGCATTTTAGGAAGACGAAACCAAAGGAACGAGTTTCTTCGTTGTTTGCAGCATGTCTGGCCATTTTTTGTATTTTTCCTTATGAAATAAATAATTAAGATTAATTGGTGAACTTCTGAAATATTCTATTTAGAGCCAAAGATCCCGTGATAAAGTTGTACAGCATCCTCAAAAACATCCATTTCAGTGTTTTTTTGTTTTTTTTTATCAAGAAAGCTCTTGCACAGTTCGTTTTTCCGGGTTTTAAAAAAAGCCCACAAATTATGAAAAAAACGCGACACAGTGCTTGTGCACCTTGTATTGTAGCAGTCTCGACCGTGGCTTGAACAACCAGGGCCTACGTACTGGATGGCACTAATGACAGGGCGCAAATTGAAGCTCGGCTGTGTAAAAAAATGAACACGTCATTATCAATGCTTTGTTTTTGTAGTGGCAGCGCGCCTGGCCAGCAGACAGGCTTAATTCGTTTAAGCCATGTTTGAGAACGCTACAATACAAGACAAGCAAGTGCAAAGTCATGTGCTTTTTTTGTTGTTGTTGTTATTTGCGTTTTTTTTTTATGCCCGGAAAAATGAAGCCTGTTAGAGGTTTCTTAATAAAAACTGCTGATTTGCATGTTTCTGATGACACTGTACAAATTTATCATTGGAACTTTTGCTCTAAAAAAATCTTTCAAACATTCTTTATATAATCTTAATTAATTCTTTAATTGGCAAACAAAACAAAAAAAATAGCCTGACTTGCTCCAAACAATAAACACACTCATTCCTTTGGTTTCGTCTTCCTAAACGACATCAAAATATTCATAAACCTTGGCTCAAGTTACGTGGGACACTCCAATTATAGTACCGCATTCTCTCAATTTTTTCTTTTGCCTTGTTTTTGAGTTTTACTATTTTTTTTTTTTGCTACTGTGTTTTTTGGGTGTGGCTTCCTCCTTTTTTGTGTGTGTATTTGTTTGGTTTTTTAATCTACTCATTTTAAATGTGAGGTACTTATTTTCAAGAGTAGGCATACAATAAGAATGCACTTACATGCATTTTATTGTAATGATAGCTGTTAAAATTTTAATACCCTTAAAATATTATTTGGATAAAAATGCTGAGGGACTAACCATTTTTTATAGGGTTTCATGTCTCTTCAAATTTGGAGGTTGTTTTTTGGGGGGGTTTATTTTTTCCCAGGGTTGTGTGGTTTTCAGGGTTTATTTTCGGTACCAGTAGAAAAATGGTGTTTATTGGGGCTTATGTTGAAAAAAAACATAGGCATAGACAAGAGATTCTCTGACCTCCAGGAAACATGCACATGAAAAGGAACAGAGATTAAAAATGTTATAAAAGAAATAACTAGCCTTGCAGACAGTTCAGTAGGGCTGTGTTTCAGCACAAAATAGAGCTGTAGGTTAATGTTTCTTCCGTGAAGCTTTGGTTTCTCTTGTTCAAGGACAGCTGTGGGCAGAGTAACTTATCTGTGAAGAATATGATGATCTGAAATAAATGTGGTGGAAGCTCGCTGCAGCTGAACCACAACAAATACAGTAATGGCATCCAGTGTAAACTACAGCTTATGTCATAACACAGTTTTCTTTTTTTTTCAATTTTATATTATTTGTCACTGGTGCTTGTCTGGTGCTTTTTGCTTAAGAATGAGAGTTGACTGCATATTTCTGTTTTATACCAGGAAGGTTCAGGTAGAAATTTCTATGTATACCACAGCAGTTGCTCAGACATTTTGTGTTAAATACAATACATATTGGGAAACACTTTCCGTCATATTTGCTACACCATATAAACATCAGCATTATAAATATGCTAGTCATGTTCAATGCAGGCTAGGAAAAATGCTACAAGTGCTTGTACTCATGCACAAATATAGTAAATCTGAGCTAAAGTCTGCAAACTCAATCTTGGCATAAATTTCAACAGATTTGCCTGATCACTATTATAAGGATTTGCATTGGAGTAGCTAGTTCATGCTTATTTTCATATTTTTACAAATGTGTTTGCTTGCATAGATATTGTACAAAGATATTACCAAAAGATTGGCAAGCGAAAATTAAATTGCATAAATCTGCATTTTGGCAGAATAAAAATCTTTTTGAGACAAAGATTACGTGGAAAATTAGTTCTAAAAGTCCCAGGTAAAATATCACTCAACTCAAAAAGCGGAATTCAAATCAATATACACCCATGAGAAGCATGAAGTTAGTAAATACCTAGCACCTAAATTGGCTGTTTGAGGGAGGGACACTTGTAAGCACACAAAGGTAGACTTAAATGGTATATTTTCAGGGCCACTCTACTTGGGGACAGCTTTTCTTGACCAAAGCTATGGGCACCCATACACTCGCGCACATTGAGCGCTAATCACAGCTGTGCTCAGGTGGTCTTCACTCCTTTGGAAATGCCAGAAAAATTTGTCCCTGAGTGGAGTGTCCACCTCTAAAATTAAAGGTTATGGTTCCTTGCACATGAGACTTTTTATTTTGACTCTATTCAAGATCAGAATTTTAATAATTGCCACCTAAAGATACCTTAATGTTACATTTCAGGTTTCTATGTCAGGTTTCAGATTTATGCTATTTGTGCTTTTCCCGCTTCGGTGGACGCCTTGTACGTAGATAATAATGCAGGCTCCTCATGTTAGATAAGGTTTGCTGTGATTGCATGTGCTTTGAATCTCACCATTCAATCAAAGACAAACTGCATGCAGGTCATGTTATACTGGTGCCAAAAGTCAATAGTTGCACATATTGTTTTTTTGCTCCTAGGTTGGTGGATCTCCGTACCACACTGTGACTGGCCCTTCCGATGTGATGTTTGATGGCTTATATGCAGGTATTGTACCGTGTTTGTATCAAAATGTTTGAGAACAGGCTTTCTGCCTGGGCAGTAGGTACATTTTAGAGGCCATGTGGAGAGACCGGGTATGTAAAGAACAATGGGTTTCACTGCTAAGCAAATAGTGTAAATGACTAAATTTTTACAAGAACCTCACTTCCACATATTTTGCAAATCACAATTGTCAACATAAAAATATGTCTGTGCGAACGAATTGGGCAAAATGTTAGCAATTTATATCAAAGTCAAATTTGAAAGTTTTACGTGCGAATTCAACGACTGGCGTCTGACATGCCCCAGCGGAGGACTGACGATTAATTTAGACCACCTGGGGATCTTTTGACATGTAACCGAAAGCTCGGTTACACGGCGCCTTCTCTGCAATAAGCCTCCGTCAGATTCCGGGCACCTCGGCCGGGATTCGAACCCGCCTCATGGGGATCCGTAGGCTGGTGCTCTCGCCTCGGAGCCACCGAGGCGGCCAGCATTTTATATAAAGGTATAAGTGTGAAAACTCGTATACATAAAATTCCATGTGATCCTATGTAGCTTTTCTTTATTCGTATATCTGAAATAAAAAGGTCATGACTCTGAATGCATATTTACCTAAACAACTTTATCCCATGTCCTCACTGACATTTTTTTGCCAAAGCGTAGCAGAGTCGTATTGTGTCTTAAGGCTTCCGAGGGCCCTCGACATACTATTGAGTATGAATGAAATGCAAACAGCAGAGTGCATGGCCTACAATACATGCTGCACTACCTAGAGGCAACTAAGAACTGAGAAAACTACAGGTACCTACTTCGATGTGCATACCCTCGTAGCCCCTCTCCACTCTGCAGTTTTATCAGTTCCTAGCTGCCTCTAGGTTGCGCAACAGGTATCAAAGGCCACACGCTTCGCTGTTCACATTTCATTTGTACCCGATAGTACCTGCTACAATCATGTTTTAATTTACTAACACAGGAAAGTGTCACCTGCAGTCTTGCAATCCTGTGGATCAGGTAAACCTAGGCACGGGTTGGTTGTAGCCTATGCGACTGGTTTGAAGTAGCGGAGAAGAGACATTATAGGGGGCCAGTGCCTCTTCTAAGAGGAACCCTGGAGATTTAGCTGCTTTGCTTTTTTTTTTTTTTGTCTTGCTTGTAATCGTGGTGACGGCGGTCACGAGTAGCTTGTACCCTAAAATCACCTATACTTGGTTACAAAATCTTACAAACCTATCACTGTATGCCATTCATTGTTTCCTTGAAAAATGAACCCAAGTATGATGGTAGTGAGGCACATCGGACAAATTCAGCATAAACGCTGATCTGTATTTGGTTCTTCCAGAGAATGATACTTCGATGGTTTATCAAAAGTGTGGCACCCTACAGAGGGACTTGGGAATTTTCCATATCTTCAGTCTTGTGAAATTTAGTACCTGCGAAATATTCCAAAACTATAGTTATGGCCGAATTTGTGAACTACTGAGCTCACGAAAAAAAGGTTGCTTACAGTAAACCCTAGGCTTTCTACTTTGGCATGGGCAAGTAGCAGACAGTTAATGGACAATAAGTATTGTAGAGTACTAGTGTGCTGCAAAAAAAAAAAATGATGGTGAAAACTAGTGTACTGTAGATACCTGGTTTCTGCATGAGGCCCCTCAGTGGCAGCCCTCTCAGCCGTGTCCCATAAAGAGTCCCACGGCCTTGATTTTATTTTTAGAATAGAGATAGAACATAGAAGAACATGTTCATTTAATATTCTGTTTAAAGGGAAACTGAAGCGGTTCTGTATTTGAGGAAAAACATTTTAATTGTCTTCATTTAAACTCCAGGATCATGAATATAGAGATTATTTTTCAATTTGGTACACGGAGGCTGCAGAAAGTAATTTTTAAAGTACCGCTGAAGTCCCTCCTTCTTGGGGCATAACATCATATTAGGAGTTTTCGGAGTCCCAGCTCTCGTGCATCAACAGCGCCTATCAAAGCTGTGCACATGCACTTTTGATATTTTCGAAAAGGTCTGAAAGAGAAGTCATGACTGGCAGTGATGGAAGTGCTGTGCCAATTGCGCCAAGGATGCAATCCTGCTACATGTGGCGCCAAATTGTCATTTTACCGAAGAATTGTGCCATGCGTGCGCCGAGATGAGATGTAGCAGTAAAAAATAAAAATTTAAGTCTTATTAGAGCGCGTGGCGGTACCGCGGTATTTTCCGCGCCACAACTGTTACGCAAACCGAAACTGCGAGGGCGCATTATCATCATCATCATTGAAAGGAACAACGTTAGCAACATCCGAGACCAAAGCCGCAGAGGCTAAGCAAAGAACCATCCCACTGAGCAGCCTATTTAAAAAAAAAAAAAAAAAAAAAAGGCCGAGCTTGTGGATGTTTTCAGTGTTGGCCCGCCCTGTTCCCGTGCGCTAGCTACCAGCGAAGTCAAAGCTAGCGCGAGCCCAATGCTCTGTGCATTCCTGACTCGCGCATCGGCTCGTGCAGTGTGGGCACCGTTATGGGCTCCATGCGCGTGCTTGTAGCTTCGGCTGCGCTCGCACCGAAGCTGAAACGAAGTATAGTTGAGTTGCACGAAACTCTGGATGTAGTGCTGGTAAAGCCTCACCGTCCTTTTCGGAGCACAAAGCACTGCGCGACTCGCACAACTGCGGTGTCTGCTCCGCGGGTGTCGCTTCTCTGCAGCGCGTCGGTGCATGCCAAGGAGCGCACTCAACGGGTTAACTCGCCGTGATCCGATCTTGACTTCGCCAGCACATTGAAAATGAATCAGAATTTTTGAAGCGAATATCAGATACCACAATATTTGAAGCTGCTGCCCGAAAGACAACTCTAATCTGAACTAAAACATTCCACAACAGTGAGGGTCGTTAGATGCTGCTGCAGATACCTTAAAAGAAGTGCAGGCTGATAAAACTAAATCTCCTGTACCATCAGAACTCAGTATGACATATTTAATTGTATTTGTTTATCTGACAAGCAGACTTTATTTTAAAAAGTTTTTTTGTGTTTACTTTGTTGAATTTTATATATCCTGTCTTAAAAAGGCGACAGGCGCTGTGTTCCAATAATAGAGATGGGCTTTATATATATTATTTCATTTTCAAGTAATACGCCAACATATGCTGGACCCTGCTCCAAAAGGGCCACTACCTGCTCGAAAACAACATTTTGCCTGCTACAAGGCCTGCTCCAAAAGGTCAAATGGCACGTCCATCTCTGGACTGGTGTCAGTGCGGGGGAATATACCTGGCAAGCTTGCAATTGCACACACTGCCCATGCGAGCGACACGAGCTTGGCGGCCAAAATATCCTAGTATGACATCACGACTGGTCGGAGGTTTTTCCTGTTTTCTCGCGTTTAGTTGCATCTTCGAGGAAAACGGACGTGATATTCAGATTCACGGGATCAAAATATGCCAAAATTCACCTCTAACTCTTTTTTTTTTTTTTTTCAAGAAGCGTTTCAGTTTTTTTTTAACATTCTTGAGGTGGAGTTCGACGAGTGCTGTAAGAGACAAAAGACGCAGAACACAACATACATTGATAGCAACAAGGCATGAAGTTGGGCTAGTTGGTTCATAATGCAAACTTGGAAACAGTGCGACAAAGACAAGGGACAAGAACGAGAAGTGAACAAACACAACGCTGACTGGCAACTGAAGTTTATTCCTGCGAGGAACAGAAAGGAAAACATAAAAGATGCAAGATAGATAAAACATAATCCACCCTCTTGAGGCATGCCCGAGCACTTAAACAAATCTGCCGAATTTCTTAATGAAAGACACTTCGTCATCCACCAATGCCACGGACGGGGCACTAACACACGTGTCCGCACCGTAGGTAGAAATAAAAAACGCCTCATCAATTTCTTTAGTCACTTTGTTGCGGTGACGAGCCAGAATCTTGATCTCCGTGAAAACCGGAGAACATGAGCACCTATCGCAGTGAAACGTCCGTGGCTTTGGCGGATGACGAAGTGTCTTTCATTAAAAAATTTGGCAGATTTGTTTAAGTTCTCAGGCATGCCTCAAGGGGGTGGATTATGTTTTATCTATCTTGCATCTTTTATGTTTTCCTTTTTGTCCCTCGCAGGAATAAACTTCAGTTGCCAGTCAGCGTTGTGTTCGTTCACTTCTCGTTCTTGTCCTTTGTCTTTTTCGCACTGTTTCGAAGTTTGCATATATTAATAGCATTGAAGTCGTGCATGTCTGTCCTGTTCTTTGGGTCCTGGCTCTCTTGTTGCATTCCCCAGACTCCATCTTAAGAATAATTGCACATGGTGTGGGGCTGTTGCTCTGCCTGTGGGCATGTTTGTGCAGTGTGGGGCCACGTGTAGCAGTTTTTCGTTCGACTTTGTTAGAAAAGCAATTTGCAAATACTTCCTTTCAACCCTTACGATGGCAGTTTAGTATTTCAAGAAACAAGTGGTAAAAACCAATTACTAAAGAATAAAACCTGCAAATAACTTTCACTTCGGAAATTACTCTTACCCCATTGAATAGGATCTCATTGACTATGAGATTTCATCCTGAATGTAATAAGCAGTAATTTGTGGCAAGTGACATTTCCAAACTTTTTTCCTGTCTAAAAGTACAAAAATTAGAACTTCAGATTTTAGATAACCACCATGTACTTAGTTCTATCTTCAATTTTATATAGCATGTTAAAAAAGTTTGTGCTTCAATTTACTGTTATGAACAAATTATAAAAGACAGTCTCTAAGCAGAAGTGATCTGTGTTAATATAGAAACCGTCGTGCAGCATTCACCATTTTCAATAGAACTTGTTATTCATTACCGTTCTACATGAAAAAACATGGGACAAGAAGTCGACAAGTCAAAGCATATGCCATGTCCTGTCAAGTTTTGTTTATTTCTTGTATGTGGTTTTTAGTGTAAAGTAATAATGATATACAATGTTCAGCTAGCCATCTTGAAGCTGGTGCCACCTGTCAGAAAATGTTGTAAACTATTGGAGACAGGGTTCCGGTGTTCCTTGGCAAAACAAAGTGCTATTCGGAAGAAGATGGTAAAGGTTTCTTTGTACAAACTTGAGGGCAAAAGATAAGCCACAATGGGCACAAAAGTGATGTTTGTTTAGAGCTCAATCTATAGTTGGTCACTGCAGTTCAATGGAGCCAACAGGATCTAGCTTGGTTGCTCGAGGAAGTGTTTGCCCTCACTTGTGCCGCGCCCATATGCAGTTAATTCCAAAACCTCCCGAACTGGCCATTCTTAAAAATGGGAACTTAGCAAAAAGCAGCAAGTTTTTTCACATGAAATAGAATGTCATAGGAACTGAAACAAGCGCCGAGTTTACTGCGTAATCTTTTAAACTATGAAAAAAAAAAAAAAAAAGAGCTAAGGAATAGGCATGTGATAAATGTATATTGAACTGCCATATTAGATAGGGTGTCGTAAGCATCATCTTGTCTTACTTTTATCTTACTTCATATGGTAACATTTCAAAATGGTTTGTCTAGTGGAATCCCTGAAGCGCAATCGTTCAAACAGCTGGTCAGATTCGATTGATGACATCAGGTACATGGACAACAGCCCAGACCCACAGAAGGTGGAACGTGCCAAGCATCGTGCAAATTGCAAGTAAGATGGTGCAGAAGTTGCATGTTTTGTTGTGTATATGCATGACTCCACTAAATCATTAGCATGTTTTAGTTAAAAGAAGAAGCTGTGAGAGTATAAGTACACATGTCCACATCTTTGTGATCATAGAAAGTGCTAAGAACAGCTGGCAACTAAAACATGATGCTATGAAAGCACCTAAGAAAACTGCTGGAATCACTACGTTTTGCAGCCCAGGAGAAATTACTTGGGCCTGGAACAAATTAGTTGGTAGAAACGATAATGTTCACCCGTAATATGCAGCATATTTGAACTTTTTAGCATGGGCATTGCACAAGCGATCGGGGCTGCCCCATGCTGGCCCAAGTACCAGCTTTGCAAAAGAGACCTTGGGTCTGATCGTGATACCCTCAAGATTGCTCACTGTGCTTAATTGCAAAGACATAAAATGGGTTACCAAGCCTGATAGCATCTGAAAGACTTGTATTGGCAGGCCAGTTTACAAGCTCTCTCATTAAGGAAAAGGACTAATCACCCTAAAGTCTTATGCTGCTTCAAAAATAAACAATTAGTAGGCTCCGATACAAAAAAAAATACATGTTATATGTATCATCTGGTTCATCATGTTTCTTCAAATTAGCAGTATCATTTCAAGATTTACTGTCTAAAACATAGTTTTTCCATGAGTAATTCAAAAAGGGAACCGACTCCTAAATGACATGGCATGTATCACCTCAGTAGAGTAGTTTTTGTTAGCCCTAACACAGCCATGAATTAGTCATTTCACTGTTTTTAACTCTTTGGAACATGGTGATGCCAACAAAATTTTTTTTTTTTTTGTATTAATGTAAATCAAAATTATGATTGGCAGTGTAATGCTGTAATAGTTTCAGTACCTCTGCTGTCACAAAACAGTCTACTTGCACTTTTATTTGTTTACCAAGGTAAAATGCAAAGTCACCATACAGACACCGTACATGGAGTTACTACAGTGGAGCAGCGACTAGCCGAGGGAGTTCCGCTTCAGGGACTTTGAGCATTGTTATGCCTTGGGAGTCAGGCCCTAGGAATCGACCCATTTTGTTGTCAAGGGGTCGGATGCCGCAAGGTTATTGGCATTCTTACTTTTTAAAGTGCATGTCTGCAGCTCAGCAAATTGCAATCACCGCCCTAGTATGGGTGTTGTTTAAAGGGCTACTCCACCGATTTTTTCATTGTCTCCGATTTGCTTGAAATTTTGCTAAACTAACCAACAAACATCGCAAAAATAGTATCCCAAATATTAGGTCAAAATATTGTATTTTCGCGAAGTTATTGAATTTACAGTTTTGGTCCTCACCGTGTTTTTCAAGCTCGAAGTCTCTACTGGCAACAATGAAAAAGTGACGTCAGTGGAAGGCAGGGGTTCACTCTTTGGGCTGTAGATTTTGTTTTAAACTGATTCGAAGCAGTTTCATGGTGTCAAATGAATGCTTGGGAAGCTCGCTGCAGTACCCGCGCTCCAGCACGGAACAAATGATTGGCATATTCTATTTTTTGGCTGCTTGCAAGACTGGCAAGCCTGCCTGCCACTGGCGTCACGGCCCTGAAAAGCGCGCGTATATTTGAATGTTGGTTTTTGCATCATTTTTATTTGCCAATTTTGCAATAACTATTATGAATTTCGCGATTCTAAATAGCATACCGGAGAGAGTAAAGGCCGGGGAGTCAGAAAATATAGTTAGTTGAGGTAGCTCAAAAAATCGGTGGAGTACCCCTTTAAGGGGGGACACTACCTTGAATTGCACCTTTTTTTTTTTAAAAAATGCATATTCAGAATTGCAAAGTTTTGGAATGTATGGATAACAAAGAACACTCTCACAAAGTCTTGTCAATGTGCACTTAAAAACAATGTCAAAAATAATTATTCTTTATATGTTGGTGAGGAGTGCTGCACTGCGTAGCACTCGTCATCCACAAGTGAAAATAGCTGAAAGCAATGTCAGTATATCAGAAGAAGTTTGAAGAAGGCATCACCTACACTGGTGGAAAGAATTTTTGACATTTAAGACACAAAAATAAATTTTTAAAACTTCATCATGAAACTTCAAGTGCATTTATCTCAGCTTCACTTTTTAGTGTCAAATATCAGTTCAGGCAAGCTATCATTTCATAATCAAATTATGCATGCAGATATATTTTGGTTTCTCTATATTTAAATTTTCTGGAGAACACGACTGTGAACTTACTTTCTGCATTTTTATGCTCTTTTGTTATGAAAAGTTTACATTTCTTTTAAATCAAATGTACACAAAAAAAACTTTTTTCCATATTTTTTTTTTGTGAATAAATTTTTATAATTTTTGAAATTTCTTTTCATAGTCGTCTGAAGCAAGTATTCTGGTGTATGTTCTAGCAAAAAAACTGGTCATTTTCATTACCCTTTCTAAACGATAGCTTTCCTCAGCAGATACACTTTTTATTATGAACTTTTATGTAACTCATCGTGGGATAAATTTATAGGGTTGAAAATTTCCACAGCATCCTTGTCCAGTGCTATGAGTACACCCTGCAAATTTCATGCAAATAAGACAGACGGTTCAAAAGTTAGCCTTCCGGAGTAGTGTTTCCCCTTAATTCTAAAGCTGGGGAGAATAATATATATATATATTTTTTTATAGGTATTAGACTGCACAATTTAGATCAGCCTTCTACACTCAATCCCAACCTGCCACTTTTAAGGCACAATTAAATCGGTCGTTCTGCATTGTCACTCTGCATGCTGGAATGTCAATAAAAACCCTGCGTCTACCCCTTTGATAACGAGGTGAGACGGCCCCAATCACCAGTCTCCCGAGGCGTGGCAACGCTCAAAGTGCCTCATGTGGGGTTCCCTCTGCTGCAGTTGGCATTGCTCCCTGGTAGCTCATAAGTCTGGCAACTGTACATTTTGCACCTTCAAAAGTGAGTCACCACAATCGGCAGTTGAATAATGGTACTGCTGTACCATTACAGAGACAGCATTATGATTGGATAAGCGAGGATTTTAGTACCAACTTCTAGTGGTGTAATTTGTACTTCTGAAAAAACAATTCCATTCATGTCCAGGTTGCTCGACCCCAAGAAGAGCACTCAGTACGACGAGTTTAAGAAGAAATATGCTGAAATTTTGTACAAATGGAACCTATTTGAGCAGAGGGCAAGTGTTTTGAAGTGCCTCTCAACCAGTCCGCCAAAACACAAAGGAGTTGGTGAGCTCTCCTTTTTAACTCATTATCCAACATTGCAAAGTGACTGTATATCTCTTTTATTTCAGAGTTTATAACGACCTGCCATTACTGCAAGCATGATGTGAAGAATGTGCAGTGCACACAGTGCAAGCGGTTAAGCTTGCTTTGTGTTGTCTGTCATATTGCAGTGCGTGGTAAGTAGACTAGTTTTTTTGACCATAGCAACAAAAATTTTAAATTAAAGCAAAATATGTAGGTTTTATGCTAGCTGTCCTTGAGAATAGCATGTACTCTTGAGTAGCCTGCTTAGAAAAGAGCCAGGTGTGATGCGACATTGTCCATCTCCGGTCAAGTAGTAGTAGTCTTCATGCTCAGTAATGTGACCCCATATTACTAAGTACTACTTGTGCAATGACCTCACCTGGCAGAATTTAGCATAAATGCTGACAAAATTCAAGTAAGAGAGCCAGCAACATCTCTTTTTCTTCCTGATTGCTTTCAATAAGCAGGTATTACTTTGGGTTTGGTGGTAGTCATTCAACCTGAATAACACTTCTAGGTAAATACCTGTTTGAACCCGAGTAATTTTGCTAACGCATTGATGATGTCTCCCGCATGGGAGACAAAACATGTGATTAAATTGTTAATATTGTTAAGTCGGTGTAGTTTTCTTTATCATTATGAATCCCAGCTTTTAGATAATTTTTGCATGTCACTATCATGCTTCCACCTCTACCAAATGCAGTATTCAGACCATTGGCATTTTTTTGGTGCAATAGTATGAGATAATAGAAAATAAACATTAAGTATAAACTGCATGTAAGCGATTTGGTAAGCGACGAGTCAAGCGACGGTGACCCGCGTCACTGTTGCTCCGTCACTCGCGCGACGAGGCAAACAGCATGAAAGCGACGTGAGCAAGCGACCAAGACAATGAGCGACGTTTTCTAGAAATCCAAATGCTGAGCGACGTGACAAGCGACACTTAGTGTCTCCATCGCTGACTTGTCGCTGTCGCTCACTAAATCGCTTACATGCGGGTCAGCCTTTACTCTCGCTTGTTTTAAGCCTATTTTCAAGGACTCAAAAAGTTTTTTTTGCAATGGTCTTTGAAGGGAAAGTACCTAAGTTGTGTTTCGAGCCATGAAGTTAAGTATATTGGTAATTTTTGAAAGGATTTAAGGTTTGACAAGTTTTTCGATCTTGCTGGTAGAGTAAAAAAGATTTGTTTTTATTTTCAAACAAGTTGTTAGTTCATAAGTTATTCATTTAGGCAGGGATCCCAAAGTTTTCAAAGAAAACTGTTTGAGGGACCCCTTGGTAATAAAGGGTTAGCCATGAAAAATTATCCCAGCATTTAACATCAAAGGAACAGCATTGTCAATTAGTGAGAACAAAGTTACATAAAGTAAAGTAGCAATTGTGGTACATGCATGATAAAAACGGATATAAAACCAGATGAAAAGCAAGAAAAAAAAAAAAGAACATTGTACAATTTCATATTCAAGAAACGAAAGTCCTCGTCCCTTTTCATAATTAAAACTAGTTTCTTAAATTTAAAGTTTCTATTTGCACTTGCAGTACTCATAACCCCTCTCACTTTGACAGGTCATGCTCATGCCTGTGTCGCCTGTGGCCATGGCGGCCATGTGGAACACATGCTGAGCTGGTTCAAGGAGCAGTCACAGTGTCCGTCAGGTTGCGGCTGCCATTGCCTCGATGAGGGCAAAGTTTTTGCATGATTCACTTCCTCTTGTAAAAGCTAATGTGCGGAGTGATTCCATCTTCTGCGCAGTGACCAAATGCTCAAGACCCACAAGCACACCTGGAATGGGTGTTATTTATTTGTAGATGTCACTTGTTGAAAATGAATTGTTAATGAAAATAGAAAGAAAAAAAAGTTTATCCTAATTGATTTGTGTCATTCTGGTTGCATTACATAACTAAGTCACCCTTACTCTGGAGTAAATATCTTTACTTTGACATTCCTAAACTCCTTTGTACCTACATTTATTTAACATCAACAACCATGTTGATGGAAAGGTTGGCTAGTGTGAACCAAGTCCAGAGCTGCACTGCTCTGAATGCGAGTTAGCAACATTGACTTCACACCAAACCGTCCAAAGACCCACAAGTGTTGCTGGCATTAGGAAACTGCTAGGCATTCCACTGATGTGAAAGTGAAGCGTGTTAAGTTTTATACACAATCTTGAGGTGAAATGGGCAAAGGGACATTCCCTTAAAGGAGCTGTGCAAAGATTTTAACGTTGAAAAAATTGGCATCTTCTGCTTTGGATATTGTTCACCTTGTCACAAATGACAGAAAACACACCTCCTTTCATCGAAATGTTGCGATTCCGCCGCGTAATAGCGAGGCAGAACTTAGAATATTCCCCGACCTGCAGCCGCGAGCGGCGGCCATGAGAAACACGCAGCATGATGTCAATGGGGAATCTTGTAGAAAGATAGCAAGTTGTGCGAATACCTGCTCGATAAAAGGTAACTTTTCTATAAATCTTGTCGTTCCAACATATATATAAATGCGTGAAAAAACTGGTATCATCGACAAAACTTTTATTATACGGAGTTTTAGTGGCGCCATCTATCCTAGGTCCACAAAACCGTCAGCTGTATGTGCTACCGCAAACAGCCTCCAAAAGCCGGAGGGGGACAGGGCCGGACGGGTATGGCCGGACCCGAATGAGACTTTCCTCCTTTCACCATATTGTTCGCACGACGCCCGCCAGCATGCGGTCGCGACCGGATGAGTTCACGCTGCTCACTGATGGCTCTAAAGAGAAAACTTTACCGGAACCCCGCGCCTAACCCATCAACGTCACTGCGCACATGACCCGGAAGACGACATACGAGTTGAGAGGCAGCAAAAACCTGGATCTTTTTTCATTTTTTTAAATAAAAACTAGGGTATCCAGGCAAAATCTGTTTTCTGTAGTTCACTTCAGAAGTGTCAGGCATCAACTTCCACAATTATTTAAACAAAGCCCTGAAATTGTTGCACAGCTCCTTTAAAGGCTGACCTACAAAGTCTTGTGCCGGGCAGAAAACCGGTTCCCAGTTTCCTTCTCGACATTCCCTCTCACACTCCTCCCCACAGCAATGGGTTTCGGGGCTGCTACTTGCAGAAACAAGCGTCTCTCTCTTTCTCCAATGGAAAGGAGGAATTGAGGGAGTTTCCTTCTTTCTGGCTACTCGTCGGCCTTTACGCGTAATGGGGACGTGCTAAACCACCTGCTAATGCCCACAATAATCCAGAAGCTATACAAAGCATCTCAAAATTGTGCCAAACTCCTTCCTTGTGCTTCAGTGTGGTGTAACCCATCAGTACCGGTGCTATTTATCCGAAGTGAGGTTTAGAACTTTAATGTGTACAGTACCTGTACAGCTCTTTAGCCAAGACTTGGGCAAAGTAATGGACAAATACATTGGAGCAAGGGTTTCCCCCCTCTCCCATCCCCCCCCCCCCCTTTTTTTTTTTCCACCTTCAGAAACAAGACATGACCTATTGACAGAACATTGACAAGTCAAACATCTCAATAGGTTTGTCAAACAATTGTTTATTGTTTTCATAATGTCATTAGTAGTTATATTTGGTAACTCTCCAACTCGCGTATGAACAAGTTCACGTAGTGAATAATCTTTACAGTCGACTGGAGTTGTAACATGAAATTACGTTTTTCTTTTCTTCAATCTTGTAAAGCAACACCGATAGTGTAGCAGTTAACTCTATGTTGAATGAAAGAGCAGCACTGCCCTAAAACATGCTTTCATTGCAATCAGAAAACTGTCAAACACATTGCAGTTCTCTTCAAGCAGGTCTGATGAAACGGTCTTCCAACAGTTCGAAAGAATACCTCCATCTTTTTACTCGCACAGGTCCTTTGCCTGTGAAGGAGAGTCCTCATTTTCACTTCCTCCCTCCAAGGGATCTGAGATGTCCTCCTTAGCTTCACAGGCCACTTCCTCAGCCACCTCAGCCTTTGTGCTGTCTACCTTTTTCTTCTTGTCTCGCTTTTCTGTACAAAGGATAAATGTGCTCAAATTTATCTGGCAGTCTACTGAGCAGATACAAAATGTCTCAAGCAGCCAAGCATCCATGCTTGGGAGGTGATATGATTACAGCAACTGAATTACTCTATTTTAACTGTTATTGTAGCTACACTTGTTAGAAACTTTATAATTGAAAATTTGCATTACAATTACAACTGCAGTACTCGATTGAACCATGGTTAAAAGCACTAAAAAGATGTACACAAGATAGAAGACAAACACGGGCGCTCTTCTATCTTGTGTACGTATTTTTAGCGCTTTTAACCATGGTTCAATACAGTCAACACCAACTAGCCCAACAACAAGTTCTTCTGCAGTACTGGAGCTCACTTCTACAGAGCCACTGAGAAAAAAAAATAAAACACAGGGCACCTTCCGCAGTTCCCCTTTTGTCAGCCTGGCTTTGGTAGTGCAAAAGTCCCACACAAGCATTGACTATGCATGCAGGGCTGAGCCACTGAAAGGCACATGCATAAGGTCTAGGGAAATGCCCCTACATTAGTGCAAGGGTGCTCGTCTTTTCATTGTCAAAATTATATATATTGTCGAGTGTACATTAATTGCCTTATACTTCAGCAATTTCGACAAAAACTATGATCTTGAAATTTATATTATGTGCATCTATTCTATTTTTGGGGTGCCCACAATTATTAAACCAAATATATAAAACCAACAGTTTGAGATCACAAATACAGGTCACCTCCCCATTGAGGCAAGAATGCACTGCAGTACTGAATATCATCCAGCATCAATGCCACTGTTGCTTCCTTGCACTTCCACACAGTGTTCATTTAAAAATTGTGTCAGGCACAAACCATAAGCAGAAGCAGAAGTGACCACAAAATACAGATATAAACAATTGCACATCTAAGCTTGACATTGTCTTAGCAGCAACGAAAGCCAAAACTTGAATCTTGTGCCATGAAAAACGGTCGTCCGGGATTGAGAATGCAATGTTACGTAGCAAAATAAGAAAATCGCTCATTTGTTCCGTAATCGTAGCATGATGCCCTGTGGTAGAATCAATATCCAGAGAAACAAAGGCACAAAATGAGACAAACGTAAGATGTAAAAAGCTCTCAAAGGAATGTGAAGCGATTGCATTACTTTCTAAATGTTATATTGGACTAAATCAATTCCCTTTTGCACTTGTAATTCTAATTGACTACTTTTGGAGCGAAGTATCAGATACATTTCAAAAGTAATTAATCCAAGTAGGCCAGCATCCTTACCATACTCTGAAACGTCGTATCCACAGACCCTGAGGTAGTGCACCCTCTCCTGTTTAGCTACATAGCACCGCAGCGTAGCCTTTCCTCGTCTTCCGGCTAAGACCAGCTCAAATTCTTCCGGAGTTCTAGAACAAACAGAAGTCTCAACCCTCAAGACTTGGCGAAAGGTCCTGTGAGCCAACCTTTAACTGGTTAACTGACACAAAATACACTAAGAAACTTGATAAAAAAAAAAATGCACACAGGTGAACACAACCACAGTATAGTATACACCTTTCCAAAAAAAAAAAGGCTACTAGGCTGCTGCCATGTTGCTGATGATGATGCAACTAGTGTGACTCGCACGCCCCCTATCGGCTAGAAATTTTCTGCCACTCTCATGGACTCTTGAAACCTGCTCAGCATGATTCTCCACCTATGTTTTGCGTTTCTGCATTCCAAGTTTTCCGGCTGCTCTCAAAGGTTTTACTTTTCTTATGCATGCTGTGCACCCCTTTTTGTGTTACCTTCCACTATGAGAACTATGGCTGGTAGCCTGCCATTCAAGCGTTTCTGCTCAATATTCACGGGAAACGAAGGAAGGGAATAAGGTCAAATGGCCCTCTACGCGATTTTGCAAACAATGACTACTGTTCTCCCCATATCCAGAGATAATCCCTGGAAAGTCCTCAGTCTTTGCCAAAAATAGCTGTTTGGGTTGGGATGGGAAACAAATCAGTCGCGTCCGTTCCTTTGCCTCGGTGCTGTGAAAAAAAAAAAGAAAAAAGGAAGCTCCCACCAAAAGCCTGTTTGATCGTCGAGAAGTTACTGTCGTTGGTACTGTGGACCGGATATGCTGTGTTATTTATTTGAGATCCTTTTCAAATAAACCCCTTTTCGGATAACGCTGCACCGTGTGGTATGTACAATTTAATGTTTGAATGTTGACACTCGCTGAATGTCATGCCAGGTCTTGTAAGTCCGGTGACCACAATATTCGTGCATAGGGAATATGCATGCCTTTCGGCTATCTTCTGTTGCAAATTATTTTTGACAGCTATGCGCTTTGTCAATTAGCTGAGCGGGCAGCGCCATTGAAACTTCTTGTAAAATAAAACAAACACGCATTCATTCTGTAGTATACATACTCAACAAAAACAGCTTACAATTTGTTTTTAGTTTCAAATGTGGTACAGCGCCTTCTCAATGTTTTCAGGAAAATGAATACACCGTAAAATGCAAAAACAGTGGGAAAAGGCGAGAATTAAGCTGCCAGCAGTGTGAAATTGCACCTACGCAGACTGTATCTATCGAAATCAAGTCCACTTGGTTAGATTTAGCAGGGACGCCGGTGAGAGACTAGCCTCACACCCAGTGAGGGGGCTCCAAAAAAAGTTCTCTGGTCCCTGGATATATAGGGTGTTCTTTATTTTAGTATTACGTCTGCGGGCAAACAAATGTCGACACAAAACTCCGGACATCCTTGAGCGACGGTGGCAACCAGACAACCGGCTTGACAGTTGTCTGGTTGCCACCATCGCTCATAGATGATGGCAATTTTTCCAGGCCTTTCCACTCTGGCTCGCCGACTTGCAGCCGGCCATTATTTCATTCTTACCATAGTACAGCTTCGCTGGTCTTCCTTTTTCATTAAAATGAAAAAACTGATTTTTTTTTATTTTTTTTTATTTTTTTTTAGGTTTTACAGATTTTTTTTAGAAAAGCCGTGAAAGCTACACTAATGCAGTCTTTGGGTGAGTTATACGTATGGCCGAGGGACAAAATCCAAGGGCTAATCGTCATAAGTCATATAACTGACTAAGATTTGTTCATCAACTTTAATTAGTGAAAACATGATTCCGATTAGAACCTGCTCAGTGTCATTGAAAATCACAATATCAGTAAATTTGATAAAGATTTGGAGTGCACAGGAAGCGAGCACAGTGGTGCACTAAATTTACCACTCGTGTGACAGGCGGTAGAAAACGCAGACAATAGAAGGAAAAACCGCTTGGAGGCGTTTTCGCACCTCCCGGCTTCTGCATCTTGTACGAGTGGTAACTTCAGCGCATTGCCTGTTGTACAAGTGGTAACTTTAGCGCATTGCCTGTTGTACAAGTGGTAACTTCAGCGCATTGCCTGTTGTACGAGTGGTAACTTCAGGGCATTGCCTGTTGTACGAGTGGTAACTTCAGAGCATTGCCTGTTGTACGAGTGGTAACTTCAGAGCATTGCCTGTTGTACGAGTGGTAACTTCAGCACATTGCCTGTTGTACGAGTGGTAATTTCAGGGCATTGCCTGTTGTACGAGTGGTAACTTCAGAGCATTGCCTGTTGTACGAGTGGTAACTTCAGAGCATTGCCTGTTGTACGAGTGGTAACTTCAGCACATTGCCTGTTGTACGAGTGGTAACTTCAGGGCATTGCCTGTTGTACGAGTGGTAACTTCAGCACATTGCCTGTTGTACGAGTGGTAACTTCAGGGCATTGCCTGTTGTACGAGTGGTAACTTCAGGGCATTGCCTGTTGTACGAGTGGTAACTTCAGAGCATTGCCTGTTGTACGAGTGGTAACTTCAGAGCATTGCCTGTTGTACGAGTGGCAACTTCAGCGCATTGCCTGTTGTACGAGTGGTAACTTCTGCCTGTTGTACAAGTGGTAACTTCAGCACATTGCCTGTTGTACGAGTGGTAACTTCAGGGTATTGCCTGTTGTACGAGTGGTAACTTCAGAGCATTGCCTGTTGTACGAGTGGTAACTTCAGAGCGTTGCCTGTTGTACGAGTGGTAACTTCAGGGCATTGCCTGTTGTACGAGTGGTAACTTCAGGGCATTGCCTGTTGTACGAGTGGTAACTTCAGAGCATTGCCTGTTGTACGAGTGGTAACTTCAGAGCATTGCCTGTTGTACGAGTGGTAACTTCAGCACATTGCCTGTTGTACGAGAGGTAACTTCAGGGCATTGCCTGTTGTACGAGTGGTAACTTCAGAGCATTGCCTGTTGTACGAGTGGTAACTTCAGAGCATTGCCTGTTGTACGAGTGGTAACTTCAGAGCATTGCCTGTTGTACGAGTGGTAACTTCAGAGCATTGCCTGTTGTACAAGTGGTAACTTCGGCACATTGCCTGTTGTACGAGTGGTAACTTCAGGGCATTGCCTGTTGTACGAGTGGTAACTTCAGAGCATTGCCTGTTGTACGAGTGGTAACTTCGGCACATTGCCTGTTGTACGAGTGGTAACTTCAGAGCATTGCCTGTTGTACAAGTGGCAACTTCAGAGCATTGCCTGTTGTACGAGTGGTAACTTCAGCACATTGCCTGTTGTACGAGTGGTAACTTCAGAGCATTGCCTGTTGTACGAGTGGTAACTTCAGAGCATTGCCTGTTGTACAAGTGGTAACTTAAGAGCATTGCCTGTTGTACGAGTGGCAACTTCAGCGCATTGCCTGTTGTACGAGTGGTAACTTCAGTGCATTGCCTGTTGTATGAGTGGTAACTTCAGCACATTACTGCGCTTCTCACACACTTTAAAAGGCCCCTGAAAAGAAATATTATGTTTGTTTTAAACAGTCTTGTTAGGACACGCGTGTCAAATTTTCCGCAAAAAAAAAATTTTTTGGGGACAATATTGACGGTGCGATACGCGATTCAGTCGGTAGTCACCTCCTTTCCACTTGTTTTCTCCCTCGGCATTTTGGGCGCATGGAGGAGAGGTGGACCGCCTTCACGTTCAGGTGGAAAGAGCAAATGACCATCTCGTTGAGGTCGAAAGAGCAAATGACCATTCCGTGACGTCATGGACTTTACGCACAGAATTTCAAATAAATTTCTCGCCATCATTTTTGCTAAAAAAAAAATTTTTTTTTTTTTTTTGTGCATAAAATTTAATTTTTTGACATGTGTGTCCCAACCAGACTGTTTAAAAATAAAACTTTTTCTTTTCGGGGGCCCTTTAAGTCTTCCCAAAATTTACTGATTTAGTTGCTTTCAATGACACTCAGCAAGTTTGTGATTGTGACCATATTATCACAATGATTATTATGTCCCCTTCGCCGTATAACTCGCCTGCACAGACCACATTAGAGTAGCTTGCACGGCTTTTCTAAAACAAATCTGTAAAGCCCAAAAAAAAAAAAAAACTCTATTTCTAGGTTTTACAGCAATATGCAAGTCAACAGAAATATTGTATATCTCTTCATGACAGAGCTCCCAAAGTATAGTTATGAAGGCCATTCTATCGTCTATAATTTCATACCACAATAGACCGATCTCACCAGTCAGTTTGACTACGCCACCGCTGCCGCAATGCATCGGGGGAACTTAAGTCTTTCTGCACGTGCGGCAGCCCCGCTGGAGCTCTGTGCGAGTGCAGCACGAGACTGCATGAGCCCTCGCGTGCACGGCCGTCTGCCTCCTGTGAACTAAAGTTATGGCGGCGTCACGCATGCGCCAAACGCTTAGTGAGATCGGTCTATTTGTTTGAAGCACACAATCATTGCACACAAAGTTTTTGACATGCATATAAATTTGCACAATAAGAAAAAATAGCACATACCCTGGGAATGAGGTACACACAAGCAAGACGCAACCCATTTCTGAAAAAGAGAAAAAAAAAAAAAAGATGGTTGCAAATCTTTGCAATGTGAAATTAGACCGCAGCTCTTGAGGAGGAGGGAAGGGTACGCCCCCATCTCCTCCATTCCCTCTCTCCCCTCCTCCAATTCAGTTTCCCCGCTAGATTTAGCGGGGAAAATGATGTCACGACTTGGTGTCACGTCCTCTATGGACAAATTCAGTTTCTCCGCTAGATTTAACGAAAAAATCGACGTCACGTGACCTCAAAACCAATTCCCCACTAAATTTAGCAGGGAACTGAATTGGTGTTGAAATTATGCGATGTCAATTTTCCCACTAAATATAGCACGGTTACACCGACGGCAACGCCACGAAACACGGAAACGAGCGCCTAGGAGCTGCGCTCTAAAAAAAAAATTGCTGTAATGGCCAGGCCTCTTCCACTACAACAATCTGAACAACTCTCACGGATACTGGGCCCTACCGAGGTCTTTGAGTTGAGCCTGAAGCTCGGGGCTGAATTGCGTCTCCAGTGGATATTCCTCAGTCAGCATGACATAGAGGTCCTCTTTACTCATACGCAGCTTTCTGGACCCAAGAAAAGGCAGGACAGTAGGCAAACCCTGCGTGCAAGAAATAATGCCAAGATAAGTAATGGTTCCAAAAGGAACTGAAGACAGCTTTTACTAAGAACACCAAACCCTACTTATATTTTATGGTGGTCAGTAGTAGTGAAGTTAATTACCTCTTGGCAAACCCTGAAGTTGCAAGCCATCTCCTCCTTCCCTTCACAGCGACAGAACACTCTCACTCCTGTGTTGATGACCTGAAGAGAATGGGTATTCGAGCGATTTCAAAACAAAAGTATTGACGTTTAGTGGCCACAAAATACAAAGACTGGTTCAGCAACAAACCAAGGTGCAACATGTAGCAAGTTCTACTACTAGGTGTCAACTGTAATTGTAAAAATACCTCTGAAAATATTGAAGGTAGTTTTACAAATAAAGCGGGACACCTAGAGTAAAGTTTATTAATTTATTATATCACTATTTTACCACAATCAACTTTTATTATATACCGTAAAATACTGCAGAAGCACCCACTATTAACATTTCCCAAACTTGGGAATTCTTTCAATTATACGTTAAGCACCCGATATGACCAGATAAGCGCCCATGTCTAGGTTAACCCAGTTTTCGTTGAAAGTAGGCTGGGCACGCCCCCGGTATTTTACGGTAGCTATTTTTACTGTTCATCATCATCATCATTTATTAAACCTTGAAGGCCCTTACGAGCACTACACAAAGTGGGGGTACAAGGTGGAGAACATAGTTATATAAAGCAAAGAAACGGGAAAAATAAACGCTCAAACACATTTAGGAAAAACAGCTAATTAAACAGCAAAAATACACAAAGCATTTCTACAAACAAAAATAGAATTTGCTATTAGTGCAATTGCAAATGGGTGGTTAGTTGGGATATGAATGTGTTATGACCTGTCTAGGTCACGATACTGTTAGGCAGGTTATTCCAGTCTGTTACTGTTAATGGCAAGGTGGAGTTAACAAACAAGACCGATGAAGCAAAAATTGGACAGACTTTACAGACATTATCAATGTGAGGAAATATGCAAGTGGGTGGGAATAACGAAGTTCTGATGTCATGCTTATGACAGTAAATCTTGTGAAAAAAAATCACCATTATTTCTCGAGGCAGTTTCAATAGTACAATGGGACACACATAGCAAAGTTTATTACCTTTATTATATCACTATTTTATCACTATCAACTTTTACTATACCACTATTTTTACTGTACCTCACTCAGATTCTAAAAATCAACTTCACCATTTCCAGAGGTCGTAGTTAGCTTTAAACTCATTACTTTTATTACACCCGGATGCCTGTACTAGGTTTATGAACTATACACAACTTTGCTTTATTATAGTGATATTGTTACAATACAGGGAACGTCGCTAGAGTAAAGCCAACTTTTTAACACAGAATGTGTTATATGGCTGGGCCCTAGCAGCTTCCAGTTTAACGCTCCTGTGATAGAAGATCGTCAGATGGATGCTGCGTTGGTGTACAGCTGGAACTCGGGTCTTCGCTGATTACCACAAGTCCCAGCCAAATGCTGACAGAACAATGGGGCCCAATCTGTACCCCATGCTGTCCTTCAGTAGGGCATCTATCCAGCCGTACAGCCTCAATAAAGGGGTACTCCAGCGACTTTTTCAGCCACTCCAACTAACTATATTTTAGAAATCACCGGCCTTTACCCTTTACGGTATGTTATTTAGTATCGCAAAATTCAAAATAGTTATTGCAAAATCGGCAAATGAAAATGATGCCAAAACCAACATTCAAATATGTATACCCGCGCTTTTCAGAGCTGTGACGTCGGCGGAAGGCAGGCTTGCAGGTTGAGCGAGCAGTCTAAAAATGGACTATGCCAAGCATTTGTTTCATGCTGCTGCACGGGTGCTGGAGGGAGCATGCAAAGTATTCATTTGACAGCATGAAACCGCTCGTAATCAGTTGGGAACAAAGTTTACAGTCTTAAGAGTGAACCCCCGCCTCCCGCTGACATAATATTTTATCGTTGCCTGTGTAGACTCTCACTTTGAAAAACATAGTGAGGACGAAAATTGCGAATTTAATAACTTCGCAAAAAAAAGTGGCGAGTTCCTCCCTCCCCTCTTGTGCTGGCCGTAAAGCTGTGGGGATGACGTCAGGTTCAAAGCATGAATAGTTCTAGGCGAGACAGTTATCGTCACTACCTGTCAAGGTTCCTAGACGGGCTTTAAAAACGAGGCTTTAGCGACATGCACCGGGTGCACTTTGCTAATCATTTAATTTGTTTTAAAATTCCTTTTTGTGTTTTTTTTTTTTTTTAGCAAGATATTGGTGTGTCCGATGTGATACTGCTCCTTTGAAAACGTATAGACCAAAAAATAAGCACCGAAATTTTGTTGCAGTATCCCTTTAACTCTTTTAGTACCACGTCGTAGGAAATCGGACACGGAATTACAATGACTTTCAAAGTGTCTGGAAAAATAAAAATCGGTGCATCACAGACAGGCAGCGCCACCTAGTTTGCTTATAGACATCTACTCTTCCAGTTTTGGTTTGGTTTTTCATCTTCTGACAAGAGGCAGTGCTTTAAGAAACGAAACTGTAACCGATAGGTAACCGCAAAGGCGGGAGCCATGGCATCATGTTCGCCGCGCACACCGCTAAAGTGGAAGGCTGTTGCAAGCACTTCGGCCGCTTCTGCTGCTGATTTTTACGACTCGAGCAGCTGTGATGACTCAAGTAATGATGCGGGGTCGTCAGATTTTAGTTCCGACAGCGACACTCCAGCCCAAGGTCCTGGAACGTCAACAGGAGCTCGCAGATGTGTTTCATTTTAGCTTGCACGTTGTATTTAAAGAAACGCGCACTTTATATTTGACAACAGTGTTTTTTCTTCCATGTCTAGTTTCAACAATGAACGGCGAGGATATTTTTCCGAATGCATTGTGCCGTATTCAGTTTTCGCCCAAGAGACAGCCTGGTGTCAATGTCGGTGCAGCACTGCGGAGCGGCTCAGGGCAGTTCTCAAAAGAGCTAGATTTTTTTTTTTTTCTTTTGTTTTTCACAGTCGAGGTGGTAAGGACTTTGTGTGCACAAACAAATATGCTTGGATGCATATTTTGGACCGACAGACGCACGCTCGTCGTGATGGCTCCTGGAAGAAAGTCACTCCGCTGGAGAAGCTGCATCATACTCTTCCAAGAATACCGAAAAGAGAACCCAAACGTCCCAGAACTTTCTGGAAGTGCCTACTTTGACCAGCTGGCATTTACAGAAGAGCTAACTCAGCACTTCAAGTATGATGAAACAGCGCAAGGCCATACTCCCATCTCACCCCAGATACCTGCTCACCACCAACCAAAAAAAATGGAGAGGAGAAGAAACTGCAAGCTCTGCTATCAAAAGATGAAATCGCAATCCAAAACAAACATCATCTGCTCCACATGCAAAGTTTATCTTTGCTTCCTGCCTTCGCGTGACTGCTTTTCTGAGTGGCACAGCTAGTCGGGACCACTGATTTGGCTGGCTACGAAAAATGCAAAACATGGCGGGGGGTGTCGCGGCGGGTCACGAAAGCGGGGTGTTGCGGCAGGCCACAAGAGGGAAGGGGGGGGGGTCCCGGTGGGCTCCTGCCCTGGGTGCCACTGACCCTAGTGACGCCACTGGGTTACTTGCAACAGTTTGTATATTTCAGAATTTCAAAAATAATTTTCTGGCTCACTACAGCCAACTTTTTTTCCTTTCTTTTTTTTTGTGTGTGTGTGTGTGTGTGTGTTTGTGTGTGTGTGTGTGTGTGTGTGTGTGTGTGTGTGTGTGTGTGTGTGTGTGTGTGTGTGTGTGTGTGTGTGTGTGTGTGTGTGTGTGTGTGTGTGTGTGTGTGTGTGTGTGTGTGTGTGATTTCTTTGTGAACTTTTTGTTTAATTGACAAATAAACTTTCTCAACTCTTTGCATTCATAACACTGCCATTTATTTAAAGGGAAGCTGAAGCGGTTTTAGGTATGAGGAAGAACACCCGAGGCTAGTTAATTAGACCTCAGCCATCACGACTATCGTATTCGTTTGGTCATTTTATGTGTGGATTAGCGGGAAAAGCGCCTTCAAAGGAGCACTGAAGCCATGCCCCTTCGAAGCAGAGGGAAAGGGGAGAGAGGAGGAAGCCCGTCAGCTGACGTCACAAAAGGTCCGGCTGGGGGACCCCGCCGCGGCTGGCCAGGCTTCCCTCATATGGCTACTCTACTGACTTTTCGAGACGTCGTCGTTCTGCCGCTACATAGCGCTTTCTTTTATCCGCTGACCGGTAATGCCATTGACTCAATCGCCTGACGTGTTAATTTTTCTCGTTTTTAGAGCGCAGCTCTTAGGGGCCCGTTTCCGGCTTGAACGGCGTCGGCGTAACCGTGAGGTCACCGGCTTGAACGGCGTCGCCGTAACCGCGAGGTCACGTGACCCACCCAGGTCATGTGACACCCCTAGGTCACGTGACACCCCTAGGTCACGTGACCCCCTGAAGTCACGTGACCTCCTTGAGGTCACGTGACCCCCCTAAGGTCACGTGACCCCCTGAGGTCACGTAAGCCCCTTGAGGTCACGTGACCCCCTTGAGGTCACGTGACCTCAAGGAGTCACCTATCCCTCAGTACGCTTCGATCTTCCTCCTCAAGAGCTGCGCTCTAACCGGCGTTACAGGGAATTGTAAACGGCTTTTTTTTACGGGTTTGCAGAATTCTTGTGGCACCGAAGCAACTGTCTCGTGCTGTCGCACCATGCTCGTACTCAAGTGTAGCCGTGGGCTTGCGAAATTGGGGTTGTGTGTATGCTTATACAGCTGGAAGTTAGTCTGTCTCAGTGGGCACCTGGTGTCTCAGCTGTAGATGAGCAATTTAGCCACTGCAGTACAACCGCTAGCCTAGGGTCTGTAACGCGAAGCACGCAGTAGTGACACACGACCGCACGCCGGTACGTTGCTCATCCAGATCGAAACGGACAGGGGTGTGGAACAACAGCACTCGTCGCAGTTGTTCTTCCCACTTACCGCCTTTTTCACTCCGACACCAAAATTTTAAAGGGATGGGTTCCCACTATGCAAACACGAGTTTGATCAAGTACACCGTTTTTTGTTCGGAACGTGTTTCGGACGGCGCATATGAAAACAATGTATGTATAGGTTCGGGTCTGAAAAACGCTCTCCTGAACATGACACTCTCAGTGATGTGATTGGCCCAAGCCATTTTGGAGCACTTTTCGGAGC